AGGCTCAGAGAGCTTCCCAAATGAGCCACAGAACAAGTTAGGACCAGTAGAAGGGTCATCTTCTGAAGTCTGACTCTTCTGGCCTGGATCCCTGTGACCAGGTAAATCCCTGTGCCCAGCATGGCCCAGCCCCCAGGGGTGCTGGGAAGGGCCTCTTGGAGGTGGATGGCCAGAGCAAGGTCAGGTAGTGGTCAAGGCAGGTGGGACTCAGGGCTCATTTCTTGGGTCAGGTGATTTACTTGCAAGCAGCATGTAAGGGGGGGACCAATCAATGGAGAGCCTCCCTACATGGTGCATTGTATCTTTTCATTGACAGAAAAGCACATTCACTTGCCCCTTTTAGGCCAGGGGCTGCCTTCCTGAAACCAAGGACACAGGGAATATTTACACTATGGTTCTGAAAGAAGGCATGGAGTGATCTTGGTGACTTCCAAAACCTTCCACTTGCCTGTCTTTTCAGCTTCACTAGTAGACCTTTAAACCCCTCACACAACCCTCTTCCTGATTCCTGGGCATCAAGTGTTCTTCAAGCCTCTGAGTTTGCACATGCTGTTCTCTGTGTCTGAGATGCTGTTCCCTAGCCTATGGGTGATGGGTCTCTCCTGGCAACCTGAGTCTTCACTCTGAGTCCCTCTAGCACTTAGGCAAGTTGATATGTCCACTTGAACTTTGTCCTGGTCCCTAACATATTGGAGAGGAAAGCACCTGTTTATTTCTGTGTAGACTCCATGTGCCCCTTGGGCTCCACTCGGGACTCTTCTGAGTCTTAGGAAGACTGTGTACATTGAGAGCACCCACTCCACTGGGAGCGGGAGTATGATGAGGGGCCCTGGCTGGCTATGTACCAAATGCACATATCTCTTTTTGCAAACACATTTTTTAGACAGAAGCTATGAAAAAAAAAAAAAAGCAGGCACAGGGTGCAGAGTGACAAGGGTAGGGACATCATCTTACATAAGTGGTCAGGCGCCATTGGAGCAGAGAAGGACCTACGGGACAAGGCCAAGAATGCTCTGGTAGAGGGTTTCACTGCAGTACTGTGAGGGATGGTCATGGTCTATGGAGAGTAGCAGTGATGTGGGGCAGTTAGGACAGAATGAGAGGTGGGATGAATGTAGGAGATGGATGGGGGCGTGGTTTTTTTTATAAGGCTCCTTCCAATCCTGAGATTTAAGAATTCCTTAGGGTCAGGGCCCAGCAGCTATCACTCTCTGATCCATCTGCAGGAAGCCCTGTATGGGACTGATTGCACATGATCTCCTACCTAATCCTCACAATAATCTTGTAGGAGGGTGTTTCTACCCACATTCCACACAAAAGGAAAACAGGGCTCAGAGAGCTACAGCACACCTCCCAAGGCAACACTGAGTCAGTGTAAGAACTAGAAAGGAACCCACTGCCTGACCTGCAGTCCAAACGGTGTTTTCCCATAACCAATATGTCTACTTGCCAAGGTCTCTGCTTGTCAGTGGCATCAGCCCTCTCTTACAAAGCAGGACCTGAAGCTGCTGCCTAGGCTAGGTCCACATAAATATGCTTATATGTGGGAGGGCCTCACCTTCTGACTGGGAGCTCACCCAGCTGCATGGTGCCCATCCTGCCCTATTCTTTCAAAGCTGAGCTTGGTGGCTAATGGATCATTTCAGCCCTTTCAATTCTAATAGACACTGTCCTGTCATGAAGACTGTCATTTCCCATGGCTCATGCAGATAATCAACGTGCTGGCTGCCTCGAGGGCTGGGAATGGCAGGCTCTGGGGCATGTCTGCAAAGATAGAAGTGTTCTCTCACTCTCTGCCTTTCAGGCCTTCCCCACCAGAAACAGCTGAGGAGCTCCTGAGGTCCAGGAGGCCCAGCTGATGCTCAGTTTCCTAGCTCTGGGAAGCACTGCCTCCTTCAGTCAACTTCAACATGTACCTCGGGCACAGTGCTGTTCCTCCCAGAACCCCCGTTTTCTCAACTGTGAAGTGGGGGAATTACATGTATCTTGCAAGGTGGCTTTGAGTGAGGTGACCCATTTCAAACATCTGCCAGGCAGCGGGCTCTTGAGGTAGTAGCTATGACAGCAATGGTGCTGAATGGTGATGCTTGTCACATTTAGCAAAAAAGAAACTGAAGCCCAAGAAGGGAATGGGCTTCTCCAAAGCTACACAGCTTATTAATGGCAAAACTGGGTCTAGAACTTGACTTCCAGGTTAGAGATTTCGTATAATTTAGAAATCCACAGAATAACTTACTAGATGCCCCTTACATTCTGGCTACCTTTACACAGTGTCAGGGCTTACAGTAGCTGATGAAGTAAACATTGTAATTGTCCTTACTTGTAGGAGAGAAAGTTGAGTTTACCAAGTGAGGTGACTTGTCCACATCTAGTAAACCCTGGAGCCCCGGTTTGACCCTAGGTTGACTTGGCTACAATGCTGGAGTGGAGTGGCCCTCAAAGATGACCTTTGGGGAGCAAACTGAGCCTTTACTTTCTCATATACATGAACACACCTATGTACTACACACACACACACACACACACACACACACACACACATACACACACACACACAGCTTTGTGATTCAGGCTTGGCACAGGCTGGGCTGTTGTCCCACCCTCTGGTGGCCTGGCAAGGATGAAGCTTCAATCAGAGTCCCACATGCTCTGATCCCAATCCCACTGACAGTACACGAAGGCTCAGCCCACTATTGCAGAGGGCAGCACCCCTGGGCTCCCTCAGAGGGTATCCAGAGTGTGTCTACTCTTCCCACACAGGGAAACCAAGACCCAGGGTCTGAGAGGCCCTCACCACACATCAGGGCGAGACCGAGAGCAAGGTGGTGGAGGGGAAGGACTGAGCTCTGCTCCAGACACCCCAAGGTTGATTGAGGACCCCCTGCAAACAGACCTATACCAATCAACTTCCGTAATTCATCATGTTGCCATATCCTTCACAAGATAAGAACTGCAGAGCAATTTTTCCAGGCTTTCACAGTTGGTAAGTTAAAGAACTTGAACTCGAACCCTATTTGATTTGCAATGTCCAGGCTATTCTTTCTTAATGCTTAATTCATTTCCTTTGTGGGTTCTTTGCTTTTCACCTTTTCCTCAAGGTCACAGGTCCTCTGCACCTCCCTACCTAGTACTGCTGTGCTATACCAAACACATCTCAAGGGTAGGAATCATATTTGCCTGTGTGCTGCCCTGTGCTGGAGCCCATCACGAGCACAGACACAGGATCCAGAACCAGAGCATACTCAATGGGTTGTTGAATGGACAGTATTGTAACGGGCTTCCATCTTTAAAACTTGATACCAGTGGTCTTCAGGGTGAGTTTGGAGAGTTCTGCTATTGTAGAAGGACTGCTTGAGTGGTCATTATGCAATATAAAGGTGAGCAGGGACAAGTAGTGTACTGCAAGTGATTGTTTGTTCATTTTTCATTAACAAGATTGTTCCACTTCTTGGTATCAAGTAGAGACCTGGAGAAAGGTAGATTAGTTTGCATAATAATCCCAGAGGGTCTCACAGGAAGGGCAGGAAGCCCCCTTAACCTGATATGAGTAAGCATAGAAACATCATATGGATGGACTACAGCAGCCCTGAGAGACTGGAGCAGCTCTGAGAGACTGGAGCAGCCCTGAGAGACTGGAGCAGCTCTGAGAGACTGGAGCAGCCCTGAGAGACTGGAGCAGCTCTGAGAGACTGGAGCAGCCCTGAGAGACTGGAGCAGCTCTGAGAGACTGGAGCAGCCCTGAGAGACTGGAGCAGCTCTGAGAGACTGGAGCAGCCCCCCAGAGGGTCTCACAGGAAGGGCAGCAGCTCTGAGAGACTGGAGCATCCCTGAGAGACTGGAGCAGCCCTGAGAGACTGGAGCAGCTCTGAGAGACTGGAGCAGCCCTGAGAGACTGGAGCAGCCCTGAGAGACTGGAGCAGCTTTGGGCAGAATGAGTGAAGCTCAAAGTCAGCAGAAGGAACAGAGGACTCAAAAAAGAACTCGTGTGCAGATTGAGATGAGCTAGTGATCTGAACCCAACATCAGGGCAAGAAAGAGACACATGGGACCTCAATTTTTTGGTCAAAGACCACAAAACACGCTGGGCGTGGTGGTGCACGCCTTTAATCCCAGCACTCAGGACGCAGAGGCAAGCGGATCTCTGTGAGTTCGAGGTCATCCTGGTCTACAAAGCGTTTTCCAGGCCAGCTGTGGTTACAGGGAGACCCTGTCGTAAAAAAAAAAAAAAAAAAAAAAAAAAAAAAAAAAAAAAAAAAAAGGTCACAAGACACTTAAGGGAAAACTCCAACATAAAAGAAACACCTATCCCCTATCCTCAGCCTCTAGCCTCACTTCTGAGCATTTTTGGTCTTTTTGGGGACAAGGTATCCCTGTAGCCCCAGCTAGCCTGGAACTCGCTATGTAGATTAGGTTAGTCTCAAACTCAGAGAGATCTGCCTGCTTCTGCCTCCCAAGTGCTGGGATTAAAGGCATGCACCACCATGCCTGGCCCTACCTGTAGTTTCTATAGAAACCTGACCCTGCAGGCCATTACCACCTTTGTGGCCAAGCATCCACTAGGATGTGCATGATCAGTCTTGGATAGCATTGTGTGGCAGGAGCTGAAAAAGTAGCACTGGCTGGGGCTTTGGTCCTTTTTCCCTGTTCCTAGAGGCAGAGCTGGCCTACTTTAGACAAGGTCCTCAGGGCACCCGGATCAATGAGGGGGGTGGAGGCGGTGCACAGATACTGGACTTCATGCTAATGAAGACTTGAAAAAGGAAGAGATATCCTTATTTGCAACCTGAGTTTGTGAAATACTCATACTTGTATCCATTCTGCCACAAATGACCCCATCTAGAAACACATGGAAGCATTCTTTCCTGTAGCAGATTATGTTTAAAATTAATAGCAACAATCACATCACACACATGGCAAACTACTCTACAGATCCTTCATCCACTCATACGTCTTTCTGAGCCTTGCACAGGCCCTGTAGGGGAGCAGGGCACTGCAGTGGTTCCCTAGAAACAGAGACTCAGAGAGGACCATGACTTGCCCATGGTCAGCACGTCAGCAAGCCCCATCCTGCCCCTACTATGGTTTCTGAAGCTGCCTCCTAGGGATGCCAGGTCCTCCATCCTACCCACTTACAGCAGCATCAGGACCACAATGGCAATGACCATGAAGACTCCAGCCAAGATGCAGAGTCCCAGGAAGACAATGTCACTGGTGTCCTGGGCCACCATGGCCCCTGGGCCCTCCAGGACCTCTTCCTCATCCCTGGGTGGTGCCTCCTGAAGGTGCTCAGCAGTGGCAGCATAGGGCCGGAGCCAGTCGGAGCCTGACAGCAGGTGGACAGATGCTTCCTTGCGCCTCGGCTCACAGCGCACCTCATACTTGTGGATGTCTGCATGTCCAGCAACAGAGAAGTCGATATACAGCACACTGACGATCACTGAGGTGTTGTTTCTTCTCTGTAGGGTCATAGACATGCGCTCACATCTGAGGAGGCTCAGGCTCTCCCTGCTCCCCTAGATATGTGTAGGCCTTGTTCCATAGCTCAGTCACAGACTACTTGCCACTCAGAGCCTGTGTCCCTGTCTATCAAAGGGGCACTCAGGTTAGCGAGATGACTCAGCAGGAAAAAGTACTTGCCACCAAGTCTGGCAATCTGAGTTCAGTTCCCAGGATTCACATAGTAGAAGGAGAAAACCAACTCCTACAAGTTGTCCTCTGACCTCCACATGTGCACAGGCTCACACACAAAAATAAATAAATGTAACTTTAAAAATAACTATACAGGCCGGGCGTGGTGGTACACACCTTTAATCCCAGCACTCGGGAGGCAGAGGCAGGTGGATCTCTGTGAGTTCGAGGCCAGCCTGGTTTACATAGTGAGTTCCAGGACAGCTGGGGCTACAGGGAGACCCTGTCTCAAAAAGACCAAAAAAAAAAAAACAAAAACAAAAACAAAAACAAAACTGTACGTTAGGGAAGCAGAGGCAGGTGGATCTCTGTGAGTTCAAGGCCAGCCTGATCTATATAGGGAGTTCCAGGCCAGCTGGGGCTACTAGAAACCCTCTCTCAAGAAGAAGAAGAAGAAAAAAAAGAGTTATAAAAAAGGGAGGGTGGGCTATATTGAAGGGTATCAGATTTGATGGGCTGATGTTTGCTGCCCCTCAAATTCCTTCTCAGATCCAAAGGGGAGTAGCTGCCAGGAGGCCAGGGGAGGCAGAGTAGAGGACGACAGAGGCCAAGGGTACGTATACATTTGGCTAAAAGGGCAGGACAAGGGGGCACTTGCTTTCTGCCAAACCAGGCTGCAGATTTCCGGATTACAGGGCTAGGGACTCTCCAATTGAGGCAGACCACTGCTACTTTCCTCCCCAGTGTCTTCCCTACCTCCTTCTAAGTATCCAAGGTGCTACGCCACTGCCTAGACTCCGTACTCTCTGAGAGCCTCCAGCCTGGGTTCAGGCCTCCAAAATCCAAGGATAGTAGAAAACTTTCCTTTGTAAACCCTACAGCCTTTGGAAGGAGGTAGATCCTCACACTTGAAAAGACCTTTTGTTTGTGGCACCCAGGAATGGAGTTGGGTCACCAGGTTGGGGAGGGTGGAGGAAGAGAGAGAGCTAGGGGCAGGCTGTTTATATTAAAGGGATCAGGGCTTCAGTGACCCTGGGGGTGCTCTGAGAGACAATGGGAGGAAGAGGGAAAAACTGTAGAGGAGTTCACCACCAGGGTCTTTTGAAAGGGTGCCAGCAAACCTGCATCCAGTCCTGAAAGGCCACCAGAGCCAGGAGAGAAGCTAAGGGTAGTAGGTGCCCTTCAACAAGGCTCAGAACTCGTCCCCTGCCCTGCCCCTACCTGAGACTCAGTGCCACATGTGTCAAAGTGGGCCTGGATCCGGAAGTTGCTGCCAACTTCTTGGGCGGTACAGCTCCGGCTGCCCAGGTAAACCTTGGTCCACTCCAGTGGGGTCAGTGCCTGGGCAGAGATCAGGATCTGGAAGTCTGTCCTGGAGCAGCTCACATTGATAGGTACCACTGGGAACAAGACAGAGGAGCTTGAGACCTTAGGGCTGCAGTCTGACCCATCATCCCTATCCTTAAGCAGTCCAGGAAGGCAGCAGATGCAGAACCAGAGTGGGGAAGGTGCTTAGGGCCTCCTATAGGACTCAGCTAGTATACTTTATATGCATCATACTTTACATGCATTGGTTCACTAAGCCCCCGGGCCTGTGAGCTCCTGGGGCAGGTGGTATGTTGGTGTCTCTGTGTCCTCTGAGCCCAGCACAGAGCTTGGCTCAGCAGGCTGAGGAAATGCTGAATGGATGAATGAACATGCAAGTGAGTGATTCATTCTTCACCACAATAAAAGTGACTGTTTGCTCATCACTTAGCCACATGCCCAGCAGTTCATCCCATCATTCATTCAGTCAGTTAACAGTCACTGATGGCCTCCTTTGAGCAGCATACACAAACAGAAATGAAGAAGCCAGACACACCACAGCTCATGTGGAGTTTACCGTCTAAGTGGCAGAGGGGCAAGGAATGTGTGAAATATATTGCAGAGTGCTCTGAAGGACAGTCAAGCAAAGATGGAAGACAGAGTAGGGGGTGCAGTTCTGAAGAGTGTGGGGTGGGGATCCCTGCTGTCCCTCTCTACAATGGCCCTGGGAGGTGAGCACAACTAAAGTCACTGCAGTTTTGGAAACAGCTCTGAGAGGTGAAGTTGCTTGCAGTGGCCAAATTAGGATTTTACCCTTGGGTCTATAGGATTTCCAAGTTTGCGGTTGGCTCTTTGCTACTTGTCAGCTCCCTGCATGCTCTGAACTGGGACAGTGTGTTTCTCAGTGCCTGGGACTGCACAGGGGTGTGTGTGTGTGTGTGTGTGTGTGTGTGTGTGTGTGTGTGTGTGTGTGTGTGTCTGTGTGTGTGTGTGTCTGTGTGTGTGTCTGTGTGTGTGTGTGTGTGTGTGTGTGTGTGTGTGTGTGTGTGTGTGTGTCGGGGGAGGGCTGCATACAAGGCAGAAGCAGGTGGGGGCTGGTAGCTGGAGGGAGGGAAAGGAGAGACCTGGCAATCACAGGCTTGGATCCCCCACATCTCTCTGGGAAATGTCTCAGACATATTTCAGCCTCGGGTGTCTGGACAGGCAGGGATTTATGGGCCTGCTGTCTCCCACAATGATCCTGGTGGCGCTGAACTGTGTGTCAACCCGATTGATGCCGAGGCCGCCTTCCCTGTGAGGAGGCCACATGCAGCCTGGGCCCCATCTGGAGCTGGCCCAATGCGAGTACCCTGTCTGACCCTGGCCTCCCACAGGGACCTGGGAAGGAGTGCAGAAGGTCCTAGAATAGGAGCCAGGACGAGAGCCACCCCCATCCTCATTCCAGAGGCATGGCAAGAAGAGGCTGTCTGAATCACTCTGTACTGCCCAGGATGGGACCTCAGAGTCAGGCTCTTAGAGGCACGCAAGACCCTGAAGACCCTTCAGTCCAGGTCCTGAGTTTACAGTTGGGAAAACCAAGATCAAGAGACCAAAAGGAATGTTCTAGGTTGCACTGGTCAGACCCCAGATAGCACTTGACTCTCAGAATACTCTTCTTGCCATGCAGAACCAGAGGAGGACAGTGCCAACAGAGTCACAACTGTCCTTCCCGTAGGCATGGAGGCCACAGAGGCCCAGAGAGGTGGCTCTGCCCAAAGTCTGTAGACTACCAGCTTGGGACAGCTCTGTTTTCTTTTCCATTGTTGGGGCCTCCAACTCCTTAGCTGCTGGGGGTGAGGAAAGAGGAAGGATCCTTTCACTGCTGAACAGGCCTGGGTATGTGAGGGAAAGACATCCTCAGAGCCAGGCATAACCTGCAGTAACCTCATTTACTCTTTAGGATGCCTGACTCGGGCACTCATCAGTCCTGTACAACTGAGCTCACCCACACAGTGGGCGGCAGCAGCATCTGAGTGCAGCCTTGGCCTGTTGGAGCTGGGCCTGCACCTCCTTCCCTGTGTCTTGCTCAGACACAGAGGTGGAGAGTGGGCATCAGTTCCCTGTACTGCCAGCTGTAGAGTTACTGAAGGGAGGGCTTCCGTTTCCACACTGCACGAAGAGGAGCCAGGCCAGAGGGTGTAGCAGGCCCAGACACAGGCATTTCTATCCTGGGACCCTGGGAAGGATGAACGGAAGAGGGGAGAAATGACTTCTCTTTCCAACAAATCTAACCAACATTTCAGAAACTAGAAAAAGTCTCAGTTACAGCTTAGCCAGCCTCTGCAGCAAGGCATGGTCATGTGACTGAGTTCAAAACAATGTGCCCCAAGACGAAGGTTTGTGAAGGCTTTGGAAATGCTTTGATTTTCCTGACGACGAGATGTTTGTGACTGGTACCTCTTCTTTTCTCTTCCAGCCTTGAACATGGGTATCATGCCTGGGGTTTGCAGCCATGAGGCTGAATGTCTCAGAGGTGCCATACAGCAGCTGCCTATTACACTGTTGGGAGAGACCATACAAGTGCCCTTTGCCCAGTCACCATTTCTGAATGACAGAGGCAGGGCTGGTGGCATCTCCATGTTTTACCATTGATGCTTTGCTCTATTTTGTCATTAATCGTGGAAATAAGGGATCAACCATAGTAGAAGAGGTAGGGGGCCCAAGGAAAAAGAAGCCAAGTGGGGAAGAGTTAGGAGTAATTGAGTCACAGCTGTGGAAAGACTGTCCCATTGCAGTGGAGATAAGTGAGAGCCACTCTGAAGTGGTCTCAAAGGTCTCCAGAGTGGATAACTGAGTAGGGGCTAGAAGAGACTGTTAAGGGATTGGGACATAGTAGATGTGGGAAGGAGGCCTTAGAGTTCCCGAGTACCCACACCATCAACTCCAGCTGACCTCCAATGTAGGCCACAGAGAACCCCCTGCCAGAGGTGCTGCGGTCTGTGTGCAGCACAAGCAGGAGCTGGTTGTGGCTTGAGATGACAGGTGGTGGCAGGTGGTGGCCACACCACTTCCCCAGCAGTGCTGCCTCCTCACTAGCCCCATCAAAGGCTGTCAGATGATCGAAGTCACAGGTTCTGGTCAGGCTGTTAGGCTCTTCCAGGCCCAGGTCCAGGACGAACATCTTGACCCGGTAGCCAAGGGGCAGGCGGATGGTCCAGTGGCACTGGATGTTGTTGGGGTAGGAGCTAGGGTAGTGTGGGCTAGAGAAGTTGCCACGCACAGCTGTGTATACCTCCTGGCATTCTCCTGGGGAAGGGGAAGTGAGAGGAGAAGGGGAGTCCTCTGCAGACTCACACACACAAACTAAATAAATTAATAAAGTCTGGGTTGGTAGTGGGACATTTAGGAGGTGGAGTCTATTGGAAGGAAGTTAGATCATGGGGGAGTGCCCTTGAAAGGGGCATTAGGGTCCCAATCCCTTCCTTTTTTTTCTCTGCTTCTTGGATGCCATGAGGTGAGCAGCCTTTACTCACCATTTGCTCTGTACAATGATATTCTGCCTCACCACAGGCACAAAAATCATGACTGACTGAGCCAAAATAGACCTTTCCTCTTGGCCTCAGGTATTCCTATTAATCTCATGTATGTTGTCACAGCCACAGAGATATACTGTTCTAATATACTGTTCACCCCTATATCCCAGTCTTGCCAAACATCCCCCAGTACCATCAGCCCACCAACCTTCTGCCTCCCATGCCTTTGAACATATTGTTCCTGCTGCTGGACTGACTTCTTCGAGGCTTTGCTCAATTCTCCCTCCTCTAGGAAGTCCTCCCAGGATTGTACCTATTAGCGCTCATGACAGTGGCTCATCCCCACTAGACTGTGGACTCCCCAAGGCACATCCATTCTTCTAGGCACACATTGACTGAGCATGCAGTACATACTGGGTACAAGAATAAGGGGCTCACCATCAGGGAGATGGACAAAATTAAGAAGTTCAAGATGAGGGTGTGAAGGAGTTCTCTAAGGAGTTTAGGAAGAGACTAATCCTGCCTGAGTAAGGCAGGAAGTTTCACGGGGAAGTGACCAGCTTAGGCTTGTCATTGGCCCAGAAGGGAATGCTAGAACATTCTGGATACAGTGCAAAAAGGTCCCCGAGGATGCAGGCAAGATTACAGAACTCCCCTCAAAAGATTACTGAATCCCCAAGCAAAGCAGGCGGCATGGGTGTTCGGTATGGGCTTGCCCCTCCTACCTGAGAAGTAGTGGGCCTTGAAGCCCCGACCTCCAATGTTGAAGTCAGACTTGAAGACTACCTGCAACTCATGGCCCAGGGACACAAGGGTGGGGGGCCTGGTGCGGCCACAGTAGTGGTGCCCATGAGTGGGGCCCGGTGCTCCAAGCACAGCCACATAGTCGTAGGCACACTCCTCACTGCCCTCCACCTGGAAGTCCAGGAACACCAGCCTGACAGCAGCAGTCCCTGAGGCACGGATCAGCCAGTGGCATTCCACATTGTTGGGGTAGTTGTTGGGGTAATCGGGGCTGCTGAGGACCCCTGACAGACCGGACAGGACACCACCACACACATCTGAAAAGAAGTCTACTTGAGTGGCCCGCTTCCCTGGGGAACCAGACATCCCTAAATGTAGCTCCTGTGGTGACAGACACTTGTGTATGGCAGGCACAGGCCTGTACCCTGAACCTACCTGGGAAGGTATGGTTTTTCCCCCTTACAGTAAGAAGTCCAGTAGCTTGCAGCTTGCCTGTCTGGGCCTGAGTTCACCTAAGCCAACCCCGCGATAAGGATCTGAGTTCAAGGAGATTGTCTGGAGATTCAGGATTCCCAGGAAAGAATGAGGGGGTAAGAGGGGACAGGGAGGTATGATGAAGGCAGCTGCTGAACCCTACTAGGGAATTGTGGGACTGTAGTAAAGCACACATTTGAGTTATATCACCCCAGGAGTGAAGTGAGGGTCTTGGTGGGAGACCGCAGAGACACCAGAAAAGACACACGTACAGATGTGGAGATTTTCAGGACATCACTAAAGTGACAAGACCCAAGAGACACAGGCAGGTCATCCAGAATTGGATTGGCAAGCAGAATTGGAACCCAGAAGATTAACTACTGATTAACAAGCTTAGTGTATGACCCTGTGGCTCGTCTGTGTGTGTGTGTGTGTGTGTGTGTGTGTGTGTGTGTGATGTATATGGTATATGTATGTGTGCATATATGTGTGGATGTGCATGCACTGTGCCAGGTGCACATGCCTCTGTGTGTGTTTGGAGGCCAGAGGAGGACATTAGATGTCCAGCTTTGACACTCCTCCTTATCTCCTCGAGACAGTGTCTACTGCTGATCCTGGACTTTGCTACTTTTCCAGCTAGGCTGGATGACCAACAAGCCCCAGGAATCCTCCTGTCTCTGCCTACCATGGCACTAAAGTCACAGGTGCATGTGGTCATGCCTGGCTTTTTACATGGATGTTGCAGATCCACACTCAGGTCCTCATGCCTGCACTCTTACCCACTGAATCTTGTCCCCCGTCCCAAGTCTTCTTTTAATGTAACTAAAAGACAGCACCCACAGTCAGGTACCTTATACATAAAAATTTAGCTGACTGGAGTCCATCAATATCCATTGTTTTTCAAGGATTGGCTTATCATAAGAAAACATTGAAAATGTGAACTTGGGGGCTGGGGCAATAGTTCAGTTGGTAAAGTGCTTGGCGTGTGAGCATAAGGACCTGAGTTTGATCCCAGTATAAAAATCAGGCACAGTTGGCCAGGTGTGGTGGTGCATGCCTTTAATCCCAGCACTCAGGAGGTAGATGCAGGCAGATCTCTGAGATAGAGACCAGCCTGGTCTACACAGTGAGTTCCAGGCCAGCTGGGTCTATAGGGAGATGCTGTCTCAATAAATAAATAAATAAATAAATAAATAAATAAATAAATAAATAAATAAGTAAATAAATAAATAAATAATTTTTAAAAAAATCAGGTATGGCAGATTTGTAATACCAGGGTTTGGGAGATGGAGACAAGTGGCTCCGTGGAACTCACTGGCCAGTCATTCTAGCCTAGCTGGAGAGCTCCAGGTCCAGGGAGCTGTTTTAAAAAACAAGGTAGGCAGCTCTTGAGGAACAATAACCTGAGGCTTATACATACACATACACACACAAACAAATGCAAACTCGTAAAATGAATGGGTATCATTAAAATATTGTTTTTATCTTTTTATATCTCAAAGATTCATATAAGATGGTTCTGTTTGCTGTAAGGATATTCTTGCTAATAAAAATGTTGGAAAATGTTGCCTATAGTGAATTTTATATCAACATTCTAAAACTCTCGGGGTCTGTGTTGCCATGCTCTGATCAGGGCAGCCTCCTGTTCTTGTGTCTTAACACAGTTCTGTGCCTCTATATCCTGCTAGCAGGGGCTGGTGTTCTGCCCGAGTGCTGGGGTTGCTGGGAGTGGACCTGTGAACAGGAGTCTGTGGCTGTCCTCATTGTGCTGATGTACCAGATGCATTTGGTCTTGGCCTCAGGAGAAGGGAAGACTTCTGGGACTGTGCACAGAAGCCCAAAGACAGGAGGAAAGAAGCAAGGAGAAAGGTAAGGAGCAGGGCTGGTGCTCCCCCCCCAACCCATGAGGCTGGGCGACAGGTGACAGGCCTGCTTGAAGGAGAAAGGAATTAAAGATTCAGGTATGGGATATGTGCAGGTAAAGGCCCCGGGAGGGAAGAAGCCACAGGCTATGGATACTCCTGCTCTTGCTGTCCTGGGTCCTGGGCAGGTATCCCGGTTGAGGAAGGAGGGGGAGGCCACGGGATGTGAATAGCAGTTAGCAGCAGCAAGTGTCCCCCTGTGGCCTGATGCTATGCCAAGAGAGAAGGACAAAGGTGGCAGAGCCCTGCAGGCTTCCTTTCAGAGAACAGCAAGTTGTCTGGGGCATCTGGTAGTCACAGAAGAAGCAAGGGAATATTGTAAGGGTAGCAGGCCCAAGTCCCATAGGCTGTGCTAAAGCAGATCATCTTGACAGCAGAGTAGCCTGCACTAAGATGCAGGCTTCTCACCTCCCCTGTGCCTGGGTGCTCTCTCCACCTCCACCTGGGGCCAGTTTTTCTGCCAAACCCCTCTCACCTTTCTGGTAGCCTGCAGAGAAGCCATGGCTGGCCACATGTTTGTCTGAATGGAAGACGACAGACATGACATGCCAGGAGGAGGTAAAGGGTGGCGGGGGCACCTGGCCACAGAATCTTCCCAACAGGTTGCCCTTGTCTCCTGAGGCCCCATTATAGATCTCCAGGAAGTCAAAGCCACAGGTGTCATGATACTCCAGGTCAAAGGCATGGAAGGTAAGCAGCACAGAGGACCCCTCAGCCACCACGATCAACCAGCTGCACTCTGTGTTGTAGGGATACAGGCTTGGGAAGTTTGGGCTGGAGAAGTTTCCAGAAGGTGCTGAGAGTACACCCCCACATTTGATACCTGAGATAAGAGAAAAGGATGACTCAGAGTCAATGTTGGGGTCTTGGATACAGGCAGCAAAGCTGGGTCCTTGGGATGAAAAGAGAACAGGATAGGACCCACGTCACTCCATGTGTGTGCCTGAGCTAAAGCATCTGTGGGTCCTTCAGATACTTGGGGAGCATTCTGCTTATCATTCAATAAATACTGTTTGAGCACTGGGCATCACTAGAGATGCTGGAAACAGCAAGAACAAAGATCCCTGCCCTCAGAGCACAGATGATCCTGTTGGAAACAGACAATAAACACAAATAAAATGTAGAGCAGATGGAAAGTGATAAGTGCTAAGAGCATAAGCAGGAAAGTGATTCCAGGCATGGTGGTGCACGCCTTTAATCCCAGCACTTAGGAGGCAGAGGCAGGTGGATCTCTGTGAGCTCAAGGCCAGCCTGGTCTGCATAGTAAGTTCTGGGCCAACCAAAGTCACATAGAAAGACATGCACACACATGGGGGTGGGGGGAGAGAGAGAGAGAGAGAGAGAGAGAGAGAGAGAGAGAGAATGAGAATGAATCTAGGAAGTATTAGTATGGGACCTCTGACTTCAAATAAGATATTCCTTATATGCTGGGCCTCAGGTATATGCAGTGAGGAATGTAAAAATTGTTCATAAAAAATCCTCTCTGTGAAAACGTGTGCATGCCTTTAATCTCAGCACTTGGGAGGCAGAGGCAGATGGATTTCAGTGAATTCTAGGCTAGCCTAGCCTACATAATGAGTCCCAAGTCAGCTGGGGCTACACAGTAATACTCTGTTCCAAATAAACAAATACATAATAAAAGGAAAAAATGACTGGAAATCAATAAGAATAATTTTATCAGGAGGCGTATAAAAAGGAATGAGGGGCTGGAGAGATGGCTCAGTGGTTAAGAGCACCAGTAGGTTCCCAGCACCTACACGGCAGCTCACAAATGCCTTAACTCCAGTTCCAGAGGATTAGACTCCCTCTGCTAACCTCTGTGGGCTCCTGCACACACACATAAACTCATGTAGACACACATACATACACATAAAAATAATTTTAAGGGGCTGGAGAGATGACTCAGCAGTTAAGAACACTGGTTGTTCTTTCAGAAGACCCAGGTTCAAATCCCAGCACCCACATGGCAGCTAACAACTATCTGTAACTCCAGTCCCAAGGGATCCAACAGCCTCTTCTGACCTCCACAGGCATTGCACGACACGGGTGCACTTACCTACATGCAGGCAATACACGCATACACATAAAGTAAAAATAATAAAAATTTTAAAAATCTTTAAAAAAATAATTTTAAAAGAAAATACTTTTCAAGGAGGGAGGAGGGAAGCAGACCTGATTGCTAGACTCCTTTACAGGTATATGGTTCATAATTTTACTTATAATTTATACAAAATAATTTCCATAATTTTAAAAGATCAAAAAGAATGTTAAAATAACTCCTAAACATCCTAACCTGAAACAAACTCTGCATTGGGTTGGCCACACAGTCATCTAGGGTGGATCATACAGGCATTCTCTGAGGAGCTCAGTCACCTTTGCTAAGCTTTTGAAAAAAGATGTTTTGTTTTGGTTTTTTGAAACAAGGTATCACTGGATAGGCCAGGCTTGCTTCAAATTTGTAATCTTCCTGCCTCAGGCTCTCACATGCCGAGATTACAGGTATGTGCCACTATACCTCGCTGAACTCTTTGAAAAACTCTACAGTTAAAAAGCTACAAGCCTGGCATGGTGGCATACTCCTGTAAGGGAAGTACTTTGGAAGCTGAGACAGGTGGATGATGAGTTCTAGGCCAGCCTGGGCTATATGGTTAAAAGAAAGAAAGAAAGAAAGAAAGAAAGAAAGAAAGAAAGAAAGAAAGAAAGAAAGAAAGAAAGAAAGAAAGAAAGAAAGAAAGAAAGAAAGAAAGAAAGGAAGGAAGGAAGGAAGGAAGGAAGGAAGGAAGGAAGGAAGGAAGGAAGGAAGGAGAGAAAGTGAGTTGATGGAGGTGAGATGAAGACAAAGAAAATGGCAGAGGGAGAGTAAGCAGAATGCACTGCAAACATGCATGCACATGTCAAGAACAATTTCAATAAGTAAAATATAATTCATTAGGGAGTCTTATACAGTAGAATGCTATACAGTGTAGAATGAATACACACCATCACCTATAGAGTAATTTTTTAATTAATTTTTCTGAGGCAAAGTCTAACTATGCAATCCAGGCTGGTCTTGAATTCCAGATTCTCTCACCTCAATCTCCTCGGTACCTGGATTAAAGGTATGGGTACCAGGCTCAGCCTATGTTTTGTTGGAAACAAATAAAGGAAACTGAATCTAATGATGTCTCTGCCTCAATCTACAAGTTAGAGTGAAGAGAAGGCTAGGGGAGCTTATCTATAGGTCTTGTTTTGTGATGGATGGATGGATGGATGGATGGATGGATGGATGGATGGATGGATGGATAGATTGATGGATTGACTGTAGTGTAAGGGTGGAACTCAAGGTTTTGCACATGCTGGGTAAGTGCTCTACCATGAAGCTACACCCCCAGCCATAACAATTTCTGATTGTTTGAGATGGAGTTTCTATAAACTTGCTTTGTTGCTCAGACTGCCCTTGAACTCCTGGACTTAAGAGATCCCCCAACTTCAACCTCTCCAGTGGCTAGGACAATAAGTATGCACCACTGTACCCTACATTTAAAAAAAAAGTTTTTTGTTTGCTTGTTTGTTTGAGCCAGAGTCTCTGTGTAGCTCTGACTGGCCTAGAACTCACTATGTAGAATGATTTGGTCTTGAACTTGTTTTGTTCTTCTTGCCTCTGCTCCTGAGTGCTGGGCTCACAAGCACTAACCACCATGCTCAACTAAGTGTGTGTGTGTATGCACGTGTGTGCGTGTGTGTGTGTGTGTGTGTGTTAGAAACAGAGGCCTGGGGGCACACATGCCATAGAGTGTATGTGGAGGTCAGAAGACAAGTTTATGGAGTCATTTCTCTCCTTCCATCTTTGCATGGGTTCTAGGGATGGAACTCATGTCACCAGGCTTGCAAGCACTTTTACCTGCTAAGTCATCTTGCTGGTCCCATAAAGGAACATAATGAACATTCTTCTTCATCTTCTTTTTTTTCAAGCCCTGGCTGGCCCAGAACTCCTCCTTGTAGTAACCTCTTTCCTTGCCTAGGTAGGAAGAAGTAGACACTTGACCTTCTGGGAGGGTGAGTGCTCCAGGCCACGTCAAGCTCTACTCAGAATATCTGTATTGGCATCCCTAGGCTGAGACTGGGAGCCCTAGGGGGACCAGGTTCAGGGTTGTGGAAACATGTCCACAGATGGCAAGAACCATGTGAAGACAGGAAATGGCCCGGGGCCAGGAGGCCCTGGCTGCTGGCAGGCTCAGTTGCACTCCTCCTGCCCTGTTACAGAACCCAAATAGCTTTCTTGCCTAAGAGCTTATGGCAGCCTGGGTCCTGCCACTTGCAGCCAAAGGCGTCCACAAGTACACACTTGAGTAAAATCCCTGAGAGAGGGATACAGTCACCACACATGTGCTCTGCATGCTGCAGGAGCTCTGTGCTGGTTTAGAATGAACCTCCCACCCAGGGAAGCTCACTGAAGGGCTGGGGCTGAGGAGAGTCAAGCAAGCCAGGAGAAACCACACTGTGTGGTGTGCTATACCACAGGGGGTTCTTGGGACAGCAGTATCCAGTCCTTGCTGGGTGCCAGGAGTGCTAGGGAGACAGAGGTAATGCAGTGGCTGAGCAGACACATTCTATACCATATTATTGGCTTCCTGTCCGGTCCATGGGCAGGACAACACCAAGAGGAGTGTCTGATTCAGGGCCTTAAGGTAAGAGGATGGATGTTCTTTCCAGTGCTTGCCCTTGTCTTTTCCTCAGCCCTGATCACAGAGCAGTAAGAGCTAAGAGCTGGGCACCAACCCAAGTGGAAACCTTGCCTGTTATGACTGAGCCAGGCATGCTGACCCTCAGGTGATTCCAAATCTGGAAGCTAGAAAATAAGAACTAGCTCCTCTTGCTACCCAGGCTGGGCTGGAACCCTGAACTACCATCTCATTCCTGCACTGACTGGCAAGCTTCCTTTCCTCCCTGACAACCAGTTGAGCTTGAGGAAAACAAGGTGTAGGTGAGTGTTTGCAGAGCACTCCCCCGAAAAAGCACGCTCATCCTTTGCAGAAAGATGAAATGATGTCACTAACTTCACAGACGATACTTAGAGGGTCAGAATGGCACAAAGTTACCAGAACCACAGCACAGGTGGGCAGAGGGAGCCCAGAGAATCAGAGGCCAACAGAGGATGAGGAGGACTTCATGGAGGAAGTGACATTTGACCTAAGCTTGAAGGATGCAAAAAGAGAAAAAGGGGGCTGGCAAGATGGCTTAGTGAGTAAAGGCGCTTGCTGTCAAGCCTGACAACCTGTTTGATCCCAGAGACTCATGTGATAGAGAGAATCCACTCTCACAAGTTTTTCTCTGACCTCCATGTGTGCTGAGGCATAATGCACATGCACATACATACACAAAATAAAATATAAAAAAATAAAAGTAATTAAAAAATACTTTTAAGAGAAAAGAGACTCTTTTCTAAGGGACTCCTGGAAGGAGAACTCTTTTTTCTAGGCAGAGGGACGGCAGGGCTTAGGATTGCTGAGGGCGAGGCATTCTCAGAGTTGTGGTTCTAGCCAATGTGATGGTGTACACCCTTGATCTTAGAACTTGGGAGGCACAGGCAGGTGGATCTCTGTGAGTTCAAGGCCAGCCTGGTCTACATGGCAAGTTTTAGACTTTTGGCTCCCAGCCAGCACAGGGAATGCACTCAGGATGCAGGAGCCAAAATTCACAGCCGCTTGGAGCCAGCATGCTACTGACCACAACAGTAAGGAATTTAGTGCCCCTGGCTGCAGTGGGAAGCTCAGTGGGCTCTCAGAACAGAGACTCCTTCCCACCATGAGCCTTCTACACTTCTCTGAACCATTCCCTTCACCCATAGTAACTATCTGGACCTGTGCCTAAGCCCTCAAGCCCTTCATCTGGAAGGGGCCAACCCTCACCTGGAACCTCATTGTGAAAGACTGAATGCCCTCATGTATGTGAAGCAGACAGCAAGTGTTCACCTCCACATTGCAGAAGCAAGCACATCCTCAGCTTGGCCAGCCCCCTTAAAAGGCCTCCTGCTTGCTGGCTTGAGCCTTGGTCTGGCTCTGGCTGCTCCCACCTCCCAACCTCTCCTGGTTGCCAGGACACCTACCTTCCATGGCCTGGGTCCCAAGACCTGGGCCCAGCAGTGCCACTGCCAGCAGTAGGCAGGCCTCTAGTTCTGCCAGCATCTCCTCACAGGGGTCCCCTTATCACGGCTGCTGAGTTGAGGGGTGGGGATCTGAGAGCCTGAGCAGGGGGAAAGAGAGGTGAGGCTGGAAAAGCCTTCAAGTTAATGGTAGTGTGAATAATTCATCGGCCCCTTGAATTAGTAAGCTGATCCCTAGGTGCTTCCTTCACTTCACGTTAAGGTGATGGATCTAGTGTCACTAGGTTGACACATACTGAGATCTGTAATGGTCACCCTGTACCAGAAAGGGGCGTAGCTTGGGCCTAGAAGGAAATAGGATGATAGAGAAAGAGTCTAACTTTCCCAGCCAGGCAGATCTGGGATTAATCCCAGTTCAGCCTGGATCCAGCTTGCCAGGTAATCTTTTTTTTTTTTTAACTATTTTTATTTTATGTGTATGAGTGTATTGCCTGCATGTGTGTACATCTATCCATGCTGTGTCATGCCTGTGGAGGTCAGAAGAGGGCATCAGATCCCCTGGAATTGGAGTAGGACAGTTGTTAGCTGCCATGTGGGTGCTGGGAATCGAGCCCTGAGTCCTCTGCAAGAGCAGTCAGTGCTCTTAACTGCTGAGCCATCTCTCCAGTCCCTTGCCAGGTGATCTTAAATAAGTCATCTCGTTTTTATGGGTCTTGGTCTTCTAATCCATCCAGTGGGGCCATTCAGCCCTGCCTCTGGGGCTGCTGGGGCAAAGAAAATGAGACCACATATGTTAAAGCACACAGCAGGTGCTTGCTACTGATTTTTCCCAGCCTCCACTCCAAGGGGAGTCAAAAGGAGGCTCACATTTGTGGATGAGCTTCCTCCTAATGTGAGAATTTAGCTTGAAGGAAGAGAGAAGGAATATGTGGGCGGATGAGGAGGGGAAATCTTTTTCATGGAAGAATGCAGCAGGCATAGCAGAATCAGAACTCTGGAGGCCCCGAAGCCCGCTCTGTATCTCCCAATGTAATGATGGCTCTGTGCAGTGTGGCCAGGAACAGTAAATGTTTGGGGCTTTGCTGAGCCACAAGCCTTATTTGCATATCACTATGTTCAAGCCCCGTGCTAGGAGCTGGGACTGCAGAAGTGCTCTTGAGGGCCCTATATCCAGTAAAAAATAGGACCTTTCTTTTCCTCTGGGAATCTTTCCCTTTGATTTAGCCTACCACATGCTTTTTTTCTTTTCTTTTCTTTTCTTTTCTTTTCTTTTTTCTTTTTCTTTCTTTTTTTTAATTTTTATTTTATGTATGTGAGTGTATTGCCTGCATGTAATGCACCCATGTCATGCAATGCCCACAGAGGTCAGAAGATGGCGTTGGATTCCCCTGAAACTGGAGTTACAGTTGTTAACTGCCATGTGGGTGCTGGGACCTGAACCTGGGTCCTCTGGAAGAGCAGCCGGTGCTTTTAACTGCTGAGTCATCTCTCCAGCCCCTACACCTGTTTTTTTACATGGGTTCTAGGGATTGAACTGAGGTTCTTATGCTTGTATGGAAAGCACCTTGCCAGCTGAACCATCTTCCTACCCCCTCCACCGTGTCTGTGCAGAGCCTGCACCAGGCCTGGGGGCACTGGAGGGGAACTGTAACATATGTTGGACAGAGCCTGGGCTCTGGTTTCTGACTGTCCCACTTGCCTAGCTGAGGGGGCTGGGAAGGTGAGCCACACTCTGTGAGGCCCAGCTTCCTCCACAGGGAGGGAGAGACAGCAGCAGCCTGCTAGTCTCATGTAGAATTAAGTGAGATCACGGATGGACATCTTAGCAAGCCTGGCTCACTGCACCAGAAAAAGGATGCTTTTTATCTACCTTAGAGGAACCCGGCCATCCATCTGCCAGAGTACATGTCACCTCTGGCCCATCCTTTTCTCAGGCAGTCCCCAGGGAGCCCTTGGCTGCCAGCAGAGGAAGCCACCTGGAAGGTGTTCAGCAAAGGGCATCGGGAATGGATGGAAAAGAAAAGGTTCTGGGCAGGTTGAGAGGTAGAACTTTTATTAAACACTTACTGTTTGTGTGAAGGAAGAGGCAGGGTGAGGGACAGGGCATGGTGCTGGGATTCTCAGGTAACTCACATGAGTGCAGCCTCACAGCACTCAGAACAGTACACAGTAGGCTCCGCATTTGCCAAAGGAGCAAGTTGAACTCTGTGTTCCTATCAGGGTCCTGGGCTGAGTTCCACCACAAGAACTCACCCACCCCACCTCTGGAACTTTCGTCCTGCTCTCTGGAACCACTTTCTGTCTTCCTTGCATTCTCATACAGCCTTTTCTTCATACCTTCCCAATGGTATCCTGTTTCTGGTCCCCCAACTCAATAGCTTCCAAATTGAACATGCACTGTCCCCATCCCTAACTTGATTCTCGTGTGGTATTTCCCACATCAGGTTATGGCATAACTAAATCACCAAGCCAAAAACCGAGTCTGCTTTGACTTTCCTGCCTCACACCCACACCCCTGTCATAGTGGAGCTTTGTTCTGACTGACTTCCAACGTCATCCCTATGCAAACTGGGCATCTCTCCTGCTCTCACAGCGGCAGGAGTCCTCACTTGCCTGAGCTGGCCATCCTCAACCACTTTCCACCTGAATCTTTTTGGAATGCTAATCGAATTCCTCCACAGCATCCTCTGCTCAAAGTGGTTTTCATACCCTTCAGGGTGCTGTGCTAGCTCTTCTGATTTCTGCCTTCCATGCATGGTGAGCCCCAGCCTTTACCACATGTCATTTTTCTCACCTCTCTGTACACAATGGGCCCTAGAGTCTGGATCATACTTCTTTCTGCCCCATTTCCATGTGGATTCTTTCTCAGCCTGCAAAACACTTGTCACCTCCTCCAGGGTGTTATCTTGTTCCCATCCCAAGCTGGGGCAGTTCCTCCTTACTGGGCACACTCAACCAGAGAGGGTTGTAGCTGGCTGGTATTTCTGAGGCCACCCTGACTTCTGGGCTTCCATCTAGTGCCCAGTATAAGGCTCAGCTCTGAGCACATCCTTTTATTCATCTCTGCCCTACACCTTACAACACATACCCTAGATGCTCAGCAGCCGTTTATGGACTGAACTGTCCAAAGGTCCACAGCTAGGAAGAGTCCTTTTCCCTCTGGACCCATGATTGCCTGTGCCCAAACCTGTGCTGTTAACCTTGCTCCTCTAGTCTGTGCAGGCTGCTATAATGAAATCCCACACACTGGGTGGCTTCTAAACCACAGATGCTTATTTCTCAGGGTTCTGGAGGCTGGACTGTGGCTGGTAAAGCCGTTTCCTAGCTGAGTCCTCCCATGGTAGAAGAGGTAAGGGTCTCTCTGAGGTCTCTTTTATAAGAGTACTAATTCCCGAAGGATTAATCATTTCCTAAAGGTCTGTAACTTCTAATGTGATTGCTTTACAGTTTTAGCACATGAATGTTGGGGACACAAACGTTCCTCCCACAGCACCTCCTCCCAACCCCCAGGGGTGGCAGTAGGGTCTAGCTTAGTGATTAGGCATGGAGTGCCAAGAACCTGGACCACGTGCTGCGTGACCTTGACCTAGTCACTTCACCCTTCCAGGCCTGTGACTAGTGGAGAATGGTGTGCTCTGAGTGGTTTGATGGGTGAGGGGCAGAAGGAAGGCTCCGCCAGGTAATTTGGGGCACTGTCTCCACATTCCATGTGTGTGAACTCTAAATGGCATGCATACCTGGATCTTCTTGTGTGTTTCATTCCAACCCCTCTCTCCTTGAAGTCACCTTTGGGTGGGGCCTCCTGCTGCCTGCCTGCCCTTGCCTCCAATCAGAGTGTAGCCAAGGCTTCTCTCCTGACCCCCAGGTGTGAAGAAGGAACAAAGACTGTCACCTGCCTGGTCATTAGGGTATACCTAAGCTGCCCACAATACTGTCAAATCTGAGCATCTGGGTGCCCATCTGTGCCGACTCAGGCTAAGCCCTGAGGACCCACTCTTCAACCTCCAGGGATATCTTGGTGTGAGGTGGCCCTCTTGTCTGGGACTGGCTCTGCAGTACTTGGAGCTACAGGATCCTGGGAACCTCTCTGAAAGGGTGTGAGCTCCACGCAGTGGTGAGTATGCCAGCCAAGGGAGGGGACAAGTGTCACGGTCATTTCTGTCACTGGGGACAAGTGGCCATACTGGTTCCTCTGTACATGAGCCTACTGTGCTGTCTATGCCCCAGACATCAACCACTGTGTGGATGTCCTTCATGGAGTGTGAATTTGCCTTTGTGTGACTGCACCCACCTGCACTTTCATATCTGTTTCTTTACACATAAGTTCATCTCTGTGCATACACATGGATCAAACTGTGTTGCTGGGTATACATGTGTCCTTCATATGTTTAAGGATATATATATATATATAATCTGCATGTACCCAGGTGTACCTTGCATGTCCATCCATGTCTCAGTGAAAATGTCATAGTATATTACCCCCAGGGAATATGTGCTTGTCTAAGTGCACTCATCTGTTTCCATGGCACACAGAATCTGCTGGTGTGTAGGTCTGTATCTCTCCAGGTATGCACACCTGTGCCTGGTGCACATCTCTCTGAGAGCAGATGTTCATACTGCTCAGTGCTGTGGCCCTATGTGTCTCTGTGTATGTGTGGGGATGCATACCTATAGCTGGGGTCCCTCTCTAAGCCAGTTTTGTCTTCATATCTGTATCTGTCACTGATCAGTGGGTATAGAGCTGGTGCCCAGGGGACAGCAAGGGTGCTGCCTAGTGTCTGCCTCCCTGAGCTGACAGAGGAGCTGTGGTAGAGAGCAGAAAGAGAGAGACCTGTCCACCCTGGGAACTCTTGTTGGGGTCCCAGGAGTCACATCTCTCCCAGGGACCTGAGGGCATTTCTCAGGTGTACAAGTGGCCAGGAGGTGGCGACAGGAAGGAGCAGCCCCCATCCCAGATTTCTGCTGGAACCTGATCAGAGGCCTGGGGTCTGCACAGTAGGAGTCAGGGGGGTGGAGAAAGAGTACAATACAGGAGAGAGAGGTGAAGGGTCCAAGAGAAGGGTGGAAGGCTGAGAGCAAGGGAGGCGGGGGAGGTGGGCTCTACGGGGCAGAGGCTGTTGTCATTAGGGTAGTCCCCCGTGGGGTCTTGCTGAGTCCTCAGACTCCTGGGAGCCACACCCCACCCCAGGCCCAGCACTACATCAGATCCCTCTGAGCTTGTTTTTCTTGCAGAGTTATTCTGCCCAGTTCATGTTTCCACAAGGCTGGGGTGTGAAGGTTGCACACCAGAAATGACATCCCTGAAGTCCAGGCGGGACAATGACAAGGTTTCCCAAGAGTCCTCTGACAAAGGCGTGACCTTGGCCTCTGGTTCCTGGGCCGATGGAAAGAAAGTGAGGAGGGGGCTAGAATCACTGCCATTTATGGATCTCACTCTAGCTTGAGGGCCACACGTCATCTCTCACTGAGTCGCCCAGTCCTACAGGGAAAGGCTACTATCTCCATTCCACAGATGAGGAAACTGGGGCCCAGCATCCCAAAGGCCTGCTCCCACACAGAGCTGAGGCTGAGGAGAGTAGACACCCACTGTTCTGGGACAGGGTGGGAACTGGGGATCAGGCATAGAAGGGGCCCCTCAGGGAAATGTTAGCCCCTAATACCACTGGGACTTGTATCACCCATGGTTTACTGGTAAGGCAGTGGTTGAGTTTGGATCCTAGGTCTGCATATGATGCACTGTGAAACCTTGGAGAAATCACTGTCACAAGCCTCAGCTTCCACATCTGTCAAGTGGGATTCCTAATCATACTCCAGGCCCCTGGGTTGCTGTGGGAACTAAATGAATGGTTCTACAGGTGAAGAGTATAAAAAGCCATACAGCAGCAGGCATCTGTGTGATTACAAGCAGATGGATGTCAGCAGCATATAAGCAACAGCCAGAGTCACCTTGTACCGAGCAGGGTGTCACATCCACGCTATGCAGGTTGTTTCATTTAACTCATCCCAGTTCTCTGAGGTGCCCCATCACTTTTTCAAGACACAGACGGGAAAAATGGGGTGACTGGGCGCCCAGGATTCCACTGCCTTGAGTGCAGAACTGGGATTCAAGGGTTGGGAGGAAGCTGAAGGGTTGGGCCTTGAGGTGGGGTCACAGGGAGGCCTGGCAGAAGGGGGATCCTGACAGCGTATTTACAGGGCCAGGAGGCAAGGGGTGAGCGGACACAAAGGAAGCCTCCAGCTGGTCCAACCCCTCTCCTCCTTCTCCTTTGATGGCCAATTAGTCCTGCTTCTTTGGCCAAGCCCGGGCCTCTAACAAGCCAAGGTTAGTTAGAGGAAGTTCATGGTTACATAAGGGGAGGCTGCCTGGCTCTCTTCCTGCTTCAGAAGAGGCTACTGGCACGGGATCTCCAGGGAGTTGTCTGGAAGGATTTGTGCCCTCCTCTTACCCTCTGGACTCTCCTGTCCTCACCCTTTTTCACACTCCTCACTCACCACACTCTGCTCCTCAGCCTTTTCAGTGTGATGAAGCACAGTGCAGCACGGAGCCTTCCATTGCCAGCCTTGAGCTGGTTTGCAAATCTGAAACTCCCTGCTCCACAGCCAAGCAGCTGCTGAGCCCCTCCCGACTGCCAGGTGCATTCATATCCAGCTGCATGCAGTCCTCATGGCCTTGAGCAATTTCCTCCACCTCCCTCTGTGCCTCAGTTTCCTCATCTGTAAAACGACACTAATGAGCTAATATTTGTAAAGGGTTTATGAGAAGATGGCATGCCACATGGTACACTTTGCTTAAACATTCATTAATTTAAATGAACTTTAAAATTTGGCCAGGTGTGGTGGCCCATGCCTGTGATCTCAACGACTGAGGGACTGAGGTGGAAGGATCATACGTCTGAGGCCAGCTTGGGCAACTCAGTGAGACATTGTCTCAAAATCAAATTTAAAAAAGGACTGGTGGGTGGGAGCAGGGAAGATGTAGTGGGCCTCACAAGCATGAGGTCCTGAGGTCAGGATTTTTTGTTTTTTTTGTTTTTTTTTTTTTGTCTTTTTGAGACAAGGTCTCCCTGAAGGTCCAGGGCCTGGAACTCACTATGTAGACCAGGCTGGCCTCAAACTCACAGAGATCGACATGCCTCTGCCTCCCAAGTGCTGGGACTAAAGGTGTGCGCCACCATGCCCAGCTCTGAGTTTAGTTTTTGAAAACTCTTAAATACAGCCTTGCAGGGTAACAATTACCCATTCTAATTCACTGTGGTGATTGGGGTTCAGGGAAAATTACTTTTTACCAACTTCATGTTGTCACAAGCATTTATTAAGCACCTACTATGTACCAATGTTTAATACTGTGTGCACATTACCCCACTGGATTCAGGTCTGTGAAGAGTTAGCATCCCCAACATTTCCAAATACCCATCGGGGGTAGTACTTCTCTGGCTGACATTCCTGACTGGTTGTTGTCTGCCTCCCCAACACATAGCTACCAGGAGAGGGGAGAGGAAGGATCTATACTATGTTCTTTGATATGTTCCAAGCACATAGTGCTGATTAAGTATTCAACAAATAGCCACTGGGAGAAGGATTTGAAATATCTCCAGTTTTCAGCCATGGGGACTGATGTTTAGAGAAATGAAGTGACTTGCCCAAGACCACACAGCAGAGCTGAAGTTTGAAAATCTACTGTATCTCAAAAAAACAACAACAACAACAACAAAAAACAACAAACTACTGTACCTCAAAAGTCCGTGTCCTAAGCCTGGCATGGTGGTACACATCTGTAGTCTCCGCACTTGGGAAGCTGAAGCAGGAGGATGACAAGTTTGAGATCAGCTAAGGCTACGTAGCAAAACTTTGTATATAAAAACAGATTCCTCTCTCTCTCTCTCTCTCTCCTCTCACTTGCTCTCTCTGCTCATGTGTGCTCACGAGTGCTCACGAGTGTGCATGCCTGTGCATGCCCCAGCAGAAGCTAGAGGAAGACACTGTGTCCTGCTCCGTCACTGTCCGCCTTATTCCCTCGAGACCGAGTCCCTCACTGAACCTGGAGCCGGGCTGGTCACCATCAAGCCCCATCAATCCTCCTGTCTCCACCCTCGACTACATTGCTGGGGTTATAGGTGATCACCCAACCAGGCATAGCTTTTTACAAGGGTGCTGGGGATCCAAATTCAGGTTCTCATGCTTGTACAGCAAGTACTCTTATCCACTGAGTCATATTTCCAACCCCAAGCTTTTGTTTTAACCATGTTGCTCAAGAAGTCTGAGCTGCGATACAGACTCAGGGCAGTGAGCTATACATACCAGAAGTGGTAGGTCGTTGGGGCCAAGAAGCCCACAGATGCCTTAACCAAGCACTTCTTCCTGCCTCTCTGGCCCACCTGTGTCTCCTCGGGCCCTGGGCCGTGCCGGTCAGGACAGCAGCATTACTTTGTCAGGTCCTCCATCAAGAGGGGCCAGCCAACCTCCTGAAAATCCAGAGGCAGAAATTGTCCCACTCAGCCTCCAGGGACTCCCGGCTGCACACAGGCTCACAAGAAAACTCAAGGTGAGTGACAAGGGTTCCTAGTGGAGTAGGTGCAGGGAACTTCAGAGAGCAAATCCATCACCTTTTTCCTGCCCATTTTCTGGCTGTGGAAACTGAGGCCCAGAGAAGACGGAAAGAAAAGACAGAAACCTAGACCCAGAGTGACTGCTGGATACCAGGCAGAGTACCAGGCTCTGCTTGCTGTAAGAGCAGCTGCTGTTCCCTAGGAGATAGCAGAGTCTGGGCCCTCAGAAGTCCAGCAGAAATTTGCATACAAGCACGTAATCAGAAATGTTTACTCAATACCCAAAGGAACGAGCTATTTAGTCTACAGAGGTAGGAGTTTATATGTCATTGGGGAAAAAGAGGCTCAGAGAGAGGAGACTGACAACAGCATTATATGCTGCTGAGAAATGATCTCTGGGATTTTGTCAGGGGCACCCAGGGTCGGGGAAGAGAATGGATGCTAGATTGTAGGGGGCTGAGGAGGCAGGAGGCGAGGAAGTAGGTACTGTGTGCGGAGGGCAGCTCTCTGAAGAGAGGCAGAGAGAGAAAGAGAGAGAGAGAGAGAGAGAGAGAGAGAGAGAGAGAGAGAGAGAGAGAGAATCAGAGCACTATACATTCTCCCTTGGAGTACCATGGAATATAGGTAGGCTGGGTGGTTGCTTTGCTTTTCTGCATTAATGTGGGGAAAACTGGGATAGGCTTCAGTATTAGTGGACAGAGTCAGTAGAGAAATTCTGAGGGTTTCCTGAGGAAAGACCCATTTATCCAGGGATGGGGGTGATATCATTGAGCTGAGCGTGAGGGGTTGCTTCTTGGTAGAGACCCCTGGTTCCCTATTGCTGCCCTATTAATTCATGTTGAGACCTGCCTGGGAGCCAGGCTCTGAGCTGAGCACTTGACTTATGTAATCTGTATTCCTTATGGCAGCTGTAGGAGGAAAAGAAGTACCAGCATCACTTTACAAGGTAGCGTAATTAACCTGTGGTCACGTGGCAATGCTTGCTCCAGACATCATACTAGATGGTAGGATGGTGCAGGAGGGGGACACAGTATTGAGGCCTGCATGTGCAAGAACACTACTCTCTCCATTAGCTACTTTAACCTCCTGAGTAGTTTTTCCTTTGCCAGTAAAATGGAGACTCCTGTTCTCTAACAACAGTATTAAGCAACATGGTCAGTGGAAACATGGCATACCATCTATATCACTGCCCGAGATACCTGCAGGAAGTTTCTAATGTATACTTGTGGCTTCTTGTGTGTCTTGATCCAAGGGCTCTTTAGCCTCCAGGGGAGACCAGAAGCCAGATCTATGGCCTCCACCAGTGAGGGAGCAGGGTTGCTGGTGGGTGAAAGCCCCAGCTTCCTTGCTTCTTGGTGGAGTAGTTCTGTGGTGTGTCCTGTAGCCACTTGGTAAGACACCCCAGCATCATGAGCTCTGGTTGAGACCAGGGGGACTCACCATTCATGTATCATCCTTGTCTGTACTCCCCAACCATCTATGTTTCCCTGAATCACCCTCCAAATCCTTGATTGGTCAGCTTTGGGCCAGAGACAGCCCTAAAAAAGGTCATGTTAAAACCCAGCACTCAAGGGACATTCAGCAGATGTTGTCCGCCTGGATTCCTGTTTTCCTTTTTCTAAGAATCAAACATCTTTGAGAACACAGTCCCAGCGGAACCACAGCCAGCCTATCAGCATCATCCAGGAGCAGGTAAGAGCCAGGGGCCCAGGGGCATGGTGAGGAGAAGGGGTCAAAGCCATGGGTAAATGGGAAACTGCTCACCTCTGCTATGCACACAGCCTCTTCCCCTGTGTTCTAGGTTATGCGTTCATTTTCCACCCCACTGTTCAAATCATATGCTTCAGCTCAGGGGACTATGTCCCCATTAGGCTCAAGTTTGAACTGTCTGCTGCAAAGAGCCTTTCCTCTCCCTCCCCTCCTGCTTCCAGGTGCCCCTGTGGTCAGCCAGGCCAGAGGTGAAGTTCCCCTGTGTCCAGGTGGAAGAGCTGATACAGGCCCACTTGCCTGGCTATTGTGGCTTACCATCCCACTCAATGTACCCATCTGGCCACTGTTCTGAGTGCTGAGATTCGGGACCTGGCCAAGACTGTCACCCCACCCCGCTACAAGCTAGTGTGCTCTGTCAGCATTGGGAGTAAGGGGCAGGATGACGTGGTAGTCTCCAGCCAGAGTCTGTGGGACCCATATGCAGACAGCTTTACCACCTCCCTCTATGTGAACTCTACACTCTTCTGTGTGGCACTGGTGCACGCCATCTATTTGGAGTGAGTCTTGTGGTGGGATGGGGCGTAGGATCTTTGTGGGGCTCTACAATAGGGAATGGTACAGAAACTCAGTTCCCAGCCTGCCAGTCAGTGCCACCTGAAGACAGTGGGAAAATAGTGTCCACCTGGACAACACAAGCAGCTTCCACAACTCATGCCAACTGAATGAGTAAGATGAGGGGCCACTGATCCCTCTGCAGGCCACACACACTGCAGAGCTCCTCTGCCTCTGGCCAGAATCATGTCAGCCATGAGCTACACCCAGCTGGATGTTCAGATCAAAAGCACTGAATGGCAACTATCTATGTCTTTGATTAATAAAAAATGGGAGATAAATTAATCATGACTTAATACTTGCAATTTGAGACCCAAATCTTCCAAATCATGGGAAAATGATAAAAGGGGAGGTTTTTTTGAGACAGGGTCTTGCTGTCTTGCTCAGGCTGGACTTGAACTCCTGGACTTGAGTGATCATCCCACCTCAGCCTCCAAGTAGTTAAGATTACAGGAGTGCAGTATTGTGAGGGGATTATTGATAGTGACATTTGGGAAGAAGTGCCATCCTTAGAGGTCAGCCATGGAGAGGAAAGGGGGAGAGGACTGGCCTGTAATGTTTTGAACATGGAATGTTTGCAGGTGTTAAAGGCTTGGTCCCTAGATGTGGTGCTATCTTGGAAGGTACTGGACACTTTAGCTGGTGATACCTGGAGGAAGTAGGTCACTAGGGTACTGGGGGCGTTCTAGGGGGGTATTTCTTGCCCTGGCCCCTTCCTGTCTCTCTCTGCTTCCTGGACACAAGGAGGTAAGCAGTTCTGTTCTGTCCCACTCTTGCTGCTATGTTGCTGTGCCTCACCCCAAGCAATGGTGTCAGCTGACCATGGATTGAAATCTCTGAAACCCTGAGCCAAAAATAAATCCTTCCTCCTTTGTTTCCCTCGGGTATTTGTCACAATGAAAACTAATACTTGGCCTTGCACCCACTCCATGCCAAGTGCAGACACACACATTTTCCTCATCCTTAGTGAGATGACAAGAGATGGCCTGAGAGATGGTGCTACATCCCCATTCTATAGATGAACAAACAGTTACTTGCTATGGGTCACACAGTAAGAGACCTGAACCTAGGTGTACTTTAATTAATTAATTAATTAATTTTGATCTTTTTGGGACAGGGTCTCCTCATAGCCCCAGCTGGCCTGGAAGTCACTATGGAGACCAGGTTGACCTTGAACTCACAGAGATCCGCCTGCCTCTGCCTCCCAAGTGCTGGGATTAAAGGCGTGCGCCACCACTGCCGGCTGTGTTTCATTTTAAAAGGGAGAAAAAGGAATAAACGAGTGTACCACTGTGGGGTTTGGTAAGTCACTTTGGATTTGAGTTCATGAGGAAAAAGGAGGAACAAAGAGAGGGAACAGCCTGCCAGGTCTGAACACCAGAAATGACTCGCTGTCTGTACTGTTGGGTCTCCCACACCTAGAAGGCCTGGTGTACAGGATGATCTTACAGGGCATCCTCGATGAAGGATGAACGACTGGAGAGCTTGGAAGCATGAGAGGCAGAGCCCACTGTGAGGTGGGAGAGGGAGCGAGCGTTTTGAAGCTCCTAGTTCTAAAGGGCATGGACCAGCTGCTTTAGATAATTTTGTTTTGAGATAGCCTCTTGTGGAGCCCAGGCTACCGTCCAACTTACTATATGGCCGAGGAAAACCTTGATCACTCTGTCTCATCTCCCAAGTGCTGGGATTACAGATGTGCACCACTATGCCTGGCTATAATGGGAATTTTTATTTTGAGACACGGTCTCCCTGTAGCCCCAGCTGGCCTAGAACTCACTATGTAGACCAGGCTAGCCTCAAACTCACAGAGATCCACCTGCTTCTGCCTCCCAAGTGCTGGGACCAAAGGTGTGCGCCACCATGCCTGGCAACGATTTGTTTTTTGTAATTTTAAACTATGGCTCTATTTTAAATGCAAAGAGAGATAGGAAAATAATAAAGGAATCAGGGAACCCGTCACCTAGATTTACCAGAAGCTCACTTTACAGTGCTCAAATCAACTATTTTTTGTAATACAAGAGCAGCTATGGTCAGCAGTCCCATTCCCGTCCAACTATCACCAGCAGTCACCCCTATGCTTGCAGCTGGTCTAGCTCCTCCCCAGAAGTAAGCATTATTTTGGGGATTTCACAATTCCCAAGTACAGGTATTTCACTGTCTCTTTTTTTGAGACAGGATCTCCCTGTAGCCCTGGCTGACTTGGAATGCACTATATAGACCAGGTTGGCCTTGAACTCACAGAGCTCTGCCTGCCTCTGTCTCCTGAGGGATGAGTTAAAGACGTGTGCCATTATACCTGGCCCATCCTCTCTTTTTAGAAAAATGTGGTTGGTTACATTTATGTACTACGTGTCTGTCTGTGTGCATGTGAATATGCAAATATCAGTGGAATCATTCTCTCCTCCACCATGTGGGTTCCAGGGATCAAATTCAGGTCCTCAGGCTTGGCAGGAAGCACCTTTACCCACTGAGCCAGGCATATTGCCCACCCTGGATCTGTCCTTTGACAATGTGCATTTCATCCCACTACAATTAAAAAAATATCAAATCCTTGTTGGTACATGGAGCTCTTTTTCATTCATTTTTAGCTACTGTCTGATGTTCCACTGGAATGCTTCTGCTGGGGCTGGGTGTAGCTCAGTGACAGAGCATGTCCTAGGTTTAGCATGTATGAGGCTCTAGGATCAATCCCAGCATCAAAATAACAAAACCAGAAAAAGAAAGAACTGCTTATTTTTCAGTCTTTTTCTTGGATAATTTAAATCTTGACTGTTTCAAACCATGCAGCAGTAGCAGTCTTGGTATTCATGTGTCACATACAACCTTTAAAACAATTACCAATGCTGGAACTTGTGTTCCCTATGTGACTTTGGAGAATTGCATGGCGTCTTGAAGGCTTAGTTTCTGTGCCTATAAACCAGGGTAATACAATGGCATGAAGATTCTGTCCTTCCCTGTGCCACCTGGAAAGTGCACCTTGACTCTGCTTTTTAGAAAAATGTGGTTACTCTGTGTGTATGCGTGTGTGTGTCTGGGCTGAGCCATGCAGGCTTTTCTGTGTTCCCAGACTGATGTAGGGCTTAGGCAGAAGAGTTCTGGGTTCTGATCTTGCCTGGTGCGGATGATCACTCACTCCCTGGCAGGACTTTCAATGGAAGTGACATTACACTAAGAGATGAAAGAAGAAGGAGCACAGGAAGGTGAATGGGAGACCAGAGGTGGAGGCCAGCTAGTAAGAAGTGGCAGGGAGAAGGGCATCAGTGACATGGAGAACACATTCAGAGCATAGATGTGGGTGTGAGGGGCGGTAGCAGAGGAGGGGGTGGAAGTAAGTTAGCTGAGCTGCAACCAGGGCTTCAGGTAGGGCAGTGGCAGGCTTGGCACTGCGGGCTAGGAAAATCTGTGTGGTCAGATGGTGGAGTAGGGCACGGAGTAGAGAAGTAGGCTGGTGGAAATATGTGAGCAATGCTGGAGTTACAAGGGCTGAGATAAAGCTTGTGCTGCCAAGATCTGTCCCCTTGGCCCTTTGGTCATTGTTGTCTTCCTGAAGCCAACTCAAGCAGAAAGATGATTTGTCTGGCTCACAGAATCATGGGCTATTTGTTGGCTTCCTGGAGCCTTTAGGTCATATTCAGGTCATTTGTGTCCCTTCTGCCACCGCACCATTGCAGTGGTACTACCCTGGTGGAACTCCATCCCACAGGCTACATGGAGTGGGACATTATTTGGAGATGAGAGAACTAGTCAGCTGACAATCTATCCCATTCCCAAGAGCTCCCAGCCAGTCCTCTTCTGGGCTCACCTAGACCCTGTGAGGCACAGCATTAGCTATGAACTCTCAAGTATCCCAATGACAGGAGTCCTTTTGGCGTCTTGGTACTGAGGGCATGGCTGGGTCCTTACCAGTATTTCATGATAAGTGGTCCCATCAGCAGCCAGGCTGCCCAGGTTTTACATGGAGTGAGGGGGAGAGGATGACCCACTCTGGGATAGGGGATGCCAGTTGCCTCTGGGTTGGTCTAATCTAATGCCTAGGTATCAAATATCTAAAACAGTACAAAAAGAGACATGTAAGAACTTCCCCAGACTCCACCCCTTATGTGAGAACTCTCTGACACCCCTAATAACGAGTGTGTTGCTTTTGAAGCCTCTATCCTCAGGGCAGTGGACTATCCCTGTCCCCCCCGCCCACCAGGCCAGGTTAAAGCACTTGCCCTCCATGGTCCTAGCACTGTGTACCCCAGTTCTACAACATTCACTCCTTTCAGAGACATGAGTTTAACTTCTGCCTGGACTGGGAGCACTCAAGTGTAAAGGCTGTGCCCTGTCTTGTTTGCTCCTTGGTGTCTAGGACAGTTAAGCTTGAGAAGAATTAGTAGGATGCACTAAGGTACAAGGATGTACCCTGAGGCCCCAACAAAGGACAAGTATCTTACCCCAGTCATGGTCAGGCAAGAGAAGACATGGTCTCTACTTTGGAGTGTTGGCTCTCAATCAGGGCCTTTCACTCTTGTCACACTGTGCTGGAGACTTAACTGGGTCAACAAAATGAAGCTTCTTGACTTATGTTTGCAGAGCTTTAATGTACTCCTGGCATTTGGTTCTGAGACGTCATATGGTATGGTCCCACACCCTACTGACAAGAGAACCCTTGCCCCTTAGATGCAGTGTGAAATCTTTCTCCATCCCCAGCTGCTCGCTGTGACTATTGAACATGGTCCAGCATGGAGAACTGTGATTTTGCTGGTGGAATGGAAAAGTCCTTTCTGACAAATAAAAGTTATCCAAGCTCCACTATAAAGATGAGGTGAAAACAGACCTGCTATGCTTGAGACAGATCTGGAGGCCCCTCTACCATCCAGGCAAGGTGCCCCAGTGCCCTGTGGAGCACCATGAGTAGGAGGTGATGGGAGACTTCTAGAGCTGGCTCTACCATGAACTATTTCATGCTGGGCGAGTCCCTGAACCTCATGGGAACTTGGACTCCCCATTTGTACAAAGAGTCTGTTAGATGGGGCTTTCTGGCACCTGAACTTCATCTCTGCTGGGAGGATTGCAATTCTGACTACAAAATCCTAATCCTGAAGGTTCTCAGCTCTCTGCTTCTAGCACTCCATTGTCGAATATTCCAAGTCTGGGGCTGCCTGTAGCCAGCCTGTGCTGGCGCAGCACACCGGGGCCCAGGCTGTAAAAAGCAGAATTCATTAAGTCAATGTGATGCCCAGGGGCAGCTAGTTCCCTGGAGAGGGCATGCATGTAGGATGGAGTTGGTGGGGTGGGGGGCTGGGTGGAGCTGGATTGGCAGCCATGAAGTGGGCAGAGCTAGAAGAGGGACCCAGGTCTCTTGACTCCTGCTCTATCTTTAGATCTCCATAGCAACCGTCACCAGGGCACCGAGCTGAAGGCACAGGGCTGAGCGGCTGCCTACAGGAAGGAGGGGCATTTGCCTCCCTGCCTCTTCTTTTGTGAGGAAAGGACTCTAGGCTGGGCTCTTGAGCCAGGAAAGGGAGACTGAGCATGATGCTGATCGCAGGTTGGTGCAGAGAAGAGACAATCCAGGGCAATGTAGAGAAGTAAAGGTCCTTCAAAGAGCTCTGTGCTTCTGAAGTTATCTCCTAAACACTTAGCACCAATTCTGAAAGGTGCTGAGGAAGCAGCAGGAACCCCAACTGGGCCCTCTGGAAGGTGAGGAAGGCTCCTCGCCCCTCCCCCAGTCCAACTTCCACCATCTTGGGCTCAGCAGGACTTGATTTCCTTGGCTCCCTTGGAGTAGTCTTCCCTGGCTCCTGGGGCTATTTGCTGGTCTTGTTCCACACAGCAGGATGCCAGGAGAGAATGACAAAACTTATAGGGCAGACAGGAAATGGAGGTTCCAAGGACAAAGGCACTTGCCCAAGGTCTCTGGACAAGTCAGCAGCGGGGCCAGGGCCTGGACTCCATGTCTTTTGACTCTAGCCTGGGCCCCTTCCAGTCTGGGCGCCTTCCTGTACCTCTGTAGAAGGCCTACAGTTAGGGTTAGAAGAGGAAGAAGGAGTCTTCCATCAGGCCGGCAGACAGCAAGCACCTAGCCATGTCCTTGGTAAATTCAGGTGAGCCACAGACCAATGCAAATGGCTTTCTCCGGCAGCGGCTCACCAGTTCATCAACCAGCTCCTGACCCAGGCGGCCGAAGTAAGTCTTCTCACGGTAGCTCCAGGGAAGGAGCTCTGGGGAGGTCTCCTGGGAAGGTAACAAAAAGCAGGGGTGACTCCTAGGAGTCCTCAGAGTTCACCCAGCCAGCCCTTCTCTGCCCAGTGAGGAAACAGAGTGGGGAAGGGGAGAAGCCAACCCTCATGAAGGCCAGCTTCTAGTTCCTTGGGCTAGGGAGCCGGGGTGGAGTAAGTGACTGGCCTTTCTGAGGTATGGGATGATGACAGTATGAGCTGTAGAAAACCATGGTCCTGGCCAGCCAGAATAAGGACATATCCCTGTGGAGGCCTGAGGAGCAGAGGAGGAGGCAATCTAAGTCAAGGGCATGTGAGTGAGCAGGAGCTACCCAAATCACTCCTTACCACTGCCATAGAGCCAGCCTGCTCCCCTGCCTGACCTCCAGCATCATTGAAACCTGTCAATGCTGAAGGTAAACTTTAATATAAGTCTCCAGGCCAGGCTCAAATGCCTCCTGTTCCATGCAGCCCTCCTGATCCCACCTGCCCTGCCCCCTGCCAGCCAGCAGTCACCTGGCCATCTCTCGGTATGTGTGTTGTGCTATCTCATACTGATGATGGGCACTAAAACAATGGTCTCTGAACAGGGCCCCCTAGGCTGGTGCCCAACTCTCCACTGCTGTTTCTTCTTTATCTTTTTCTTATTACCTCAGTTCCCACATCTGTAAAAGGTCCAGGGTGGCAGAACAAGTCTCATGAGACTGCAGTTGGACTTAATTCACATAAAGTGCCTTGAATAGTGTCAGACACATTGGAGTACTCAACGAAGGGCAGCCATAACCAGCTGTCCTTGCAGCTGTCCTCCTGTGGACAGGTCAGTGTCTTGAGGGCAGGGAGTAGATCACTTTCACTTGTGTCCCTGGCATCTGTCATGTAGTTGCGAACAGAAGTCAAGAGGCTGGACAGTAGCTAGGTGAGGGTGAGTCTGCCAGGTGTCTGTGTCCTGCTCCTGTTCCTGCATCCTGGTCCAGGCTCTTGCTGTGCTGTTGTACATCTGGCCTGTGGCCTGCCTCACCCCCCTCAGCTGCACACCCACCTCCTGTTTCATGTCCTGCCTTGTTTCCTGGCCTTAGCCACAGGGTCGAGGATCACATAAGTGGTCAGGGATTTTCCAGTGTTGCCTCAAAGAGGAAATTGAGGAGGTGATACCTGCAGTACAGGAATATAAGGCTGACCTCGGCAACAGGGAACAGAGGGGGGCCCCAGAAGCAGACCTAACTCAGGGGGTGAAGGAAGAAGTAAAACCAGACAGCTGGAAGACGGATGGACAATGGCAGTGGAGGGCCTGGCTTGAAATAAGGCACAAAGGTTCCCCTATGCTGCAGCAGGAGCAGGGTCTTTAGAGTGAATAGAGGGAACAGGAATCAGGTCAGAAGGTGGCTTCCTGCTGGAGAATCTATAGCTTGCTGAGTCTAATGGTAGCTGTCCTGCAGCTGTCTGGAGGGGCAGTTGGAGGTGGAAGGGACCCTATTAAAGGCACTACTCAGTCAGTATTGATGGAGTCCCTGTGCTGGCCCCTGTACTAAGCACTAAGGGGAGTGGGAACCCACAGTCCTAGCCTCTACTGTTGTCCTGACTTCACTGTCTGGCCCCAGCCCACACCAGTGACAGCAGAGGGAGGGTGGGACACAGCAAAGGCTACAAAATGAAGCTCTGAATTGTGAAGCACCAAGCCCAGTCCTGGCTCCCCATCTGTAGTGTGGCCTGTGGGCCCTACACCTCTATGAGCCTGTTTTCCTCTCCTTACAATGGACTCTGTAATGCCTGCCTTCTATCCCAGGCAACTGGGATTATTAATACGGATGGTTTACAATGGCTACAGCCAGTCTTCAAGATAGCACAAAGGGAACACAGCTTCTCAAGTGAGGAAGTCCTTACCCTGGGCTCACCTGACTGAGAACAAAGAAGGTGCGCACGTTCCAGAACCCGGCCTGCTCCTGGAGGAAGGTCTTCAGGTAGATGCCCTCAAAGGTCTTGAAGCAGCTGACCAAGGTGACAAAGGTTTCATCGTCGGCATTGTCTGTGATGCTCTGCAGGATGGGCACCATAGGAGCCAGGCCTGTGCCTGCAGCCAGCATGAGAAGTTCCCCATACTGGAGAGTAGAATGGGCAGCATAGGTGAGCATGGGGTAAGGGGGGTGTGCTGGATAGCTTTAGTGTCAACGACACACCTGGGTTGAGGGAGCCTCAATTGGGGAACTGCCTCCATTGGAATGGCCTGTGGCCATGTCTGTGGGACATCTTGATTGTTGAGTGATATGGGAGGGCCCAGCCCACTGTGGGTGGTGCCACCCCTGGGCAGGTGGGTCTATATTGTATAAGAAAGCAGTCTGAGCAGGGGCTAGGCGAGCAAGCCAATAAGCAGCCTTCCTCCATGGCCTATACTTCAGCTCCTGCCTCCAGGTTCCTGCCCTGAGTTCCTACCTGGGGTTCCCTGATTAACTGTGACCTGGGAGATGTAAGCTGAATAAACCTTTTCCTCCCCAAGTTGGTATTGGTCAGAGTGTTTTGTCACAGCAATGGAGAAACAAACTAGAACAGGGGGTCTCACCTAACACCCCACTGTGGACCTTTCTTTGGTCTTGCCTGAGCTGGGCAGCAGTGCCCTTTTTAAATGTCCCACCCATCTCTGCCCCGCCCCACCTCAAGTGGAAGAAGCCACCTGCCTTGTGAGAAACAGGTAAGGCCTACAGAGTACAGTTTATGGGATCTTGAGGATCCTACAGATCAAAATACTGTAGCCCAACATGAAAAGAGCTTGGCTGTCTTCTAACACATTCTTACAAGGACTCTCCTTATATGCTCCTGCTGTTGAGGAACTCATTACCTCCCAAGGCTGCTTTCACTTACACGAAAACCTTGTCCTTCCTGACTTCATCCCATCCATGGTATCTGGGGAGCCTTATAAAGGTCTTAGACCCCCAGTCTGGAACCTTGATTCTCTCTTCTCCAGACTAAATGAGGTAATATATACATGTACCTGGCACAGCATTGTAAGATGAGTTCCTGCCCAAGAGACCTGGTACTACTGACTCCTCAATGAACTCATTTCCTGGCTATAGATTTCTTAAAAAGGGGCAAAACTTTTTAAAACCAGTTTTTCTTTTTCTTTTTTATTTTTCTGTTCTTTTTTTTTTTGAGACAGAGTCTCCCTGTAGCTCCAGCTGACCTGGAATTCACTATGTAGACCAGGTTGATCTTGATCTCACAGAGATCTGTCTGCCTCTGCCTCCTGAGTGCTGGGATTAAAGGTGTGTGCCACCATACCAGGCTTAGTTTCTTAAAGGGTAATTGCCTGACTGTCACAGAGAAGTATTCACCTTCATCATTTTAGAGATTAGCCCTCTGTGAAGAAATCCCAAGCATAGCTCTTTTCCTAATCTGATCCTCAGTTTTTTCACTGGTAAAGAACAATGATAAGAGTACTTTCCCATAACAGCTCCTATGTCAGAATTGCCATGAGGATCAAATGAAGTAACATAAAGGCCTAGTATGGAGCTGAGGTTTAATCCACTTTGATTCTCCCTACTAGTAAGCCTGAGACTCTGAGCTAGGTCATCCTGTTCTGTAGCTATGGTTCCTTCAGCCTCCAGGTCTTTAACTTGATTTGCCCCTCCTTTCTCTCATCCTTGCTCAGGCTGTGTTTTGGGAGGCCATCCTGAGCAGGGCTGGGGTGAGGGCTCTTTTTTCTTGTTTTCCTAGTCTGTCTGTCTGTCTGTCTGTCTCTCTCTCTCCAATGGCAAACAATGTCTGCCTCCTCCTGGGCAGACAGTAGTGACTGACAAAGGGTGTGGCATGAAGGCACAGATAGATATTTGTGTTGCTGATTCAATATCTGTCTGTAATGGAAACAACCACAAAGCAGGGCTGACAAGACGGCAGGCACCCAAGTGTTCTCAAGGACTAAAGCAGGTCCTGGCCAATTTGAACGTGGGAGGCACCATCACTGTCCCCTTGCTGCTGGGCCTACCCACTCCTACTAAGAAGTGAGGGACTCTACATGTTAAAGGATGCAGGTCACAGGCACTGGAAGGCTCCCTAGTGGGAAAGGTGATCATCTGTTCCCCATCTGTCCCAGGCCAGGAGGGAACAGGAATACCCACACCCTGCTCTTAAGGGCCTGGGGACACAGGAGGATGCTCAGCTAGAATGCAGGGCCAAGCATGATTAGTACCAGAGTAACATGCTGCAGAGAGCTAACATACGCACCTGTATATAGAGTGAGGAATCACCTGTGAGCTGCCATGAGACCTGAGCAAGCCAGCACATGGCAAATGCTAAGGTCATGCAAAGAGTACACACCTCAAGTGGGTTTGGCAGATTGTATGTAAATCTGTATATATTTATTGTGATGGTGGGGATGGAGCTCAGGTCTTCACAAGTGCTAGGAAACCACTCTACCATTGAGCTACACTCCAGTCCTGACAGGGCTGATATGATGCACGTATACTTGTGTGTATGCATATATGTGTTTGTATATATACCCACACATGAGGCAGTGGGTCTGGCACGTCTGGAAGGGGTGTGGTCTGCAGGTGCATTTGCTTTTCTTCTCTCTGTTGAGTTTTTTGGTTAGTGAGCACGTATCACGCATTTACAATAAGGGAAAATGCACTAAAACCTATTTTTAAATTAAACAAAAAGAATGGAGAGGCATGATTCATTCTTTTGCATTTGTTTTGGTTTTGCGTTGTTTTCCTAATTATAAAGGTAATAGGTGTTCATTCCAGATAATTTGGAAAGTATAATGAAGAAAATGAAAGTTGCTCATAATTCAACCACCCAGAGCGGCTAACATTTCACGTATTTTCCTTATATATTTTTCCCTGTGCATTTTAAGTTAGTTTTCTGACTGGATTTATGTCATTTTGTACCTAGTACTAGCACCTAGTGCCTGTCACTCAATCTTATAGCATAAGAATGTAGAATCATTTATGAACATAACTTGAAAATCTAGGATAATATTCTAGGAAATATCTGTAACCCTGTGCACTTGTGTTCCCGTTGTCAGATAGTCGGTTGCCTCCATCTTTTGCTATTATTAATAAAAATGTCATCAATACATGTGAGTCAGCATTTTAGACTTTTTCTCTATAATAGACTTCCAGAAATGAATTATTAGGCCAAAGAATTCAAAGATTCTTGAGACTCTTGTTCCATACTGCTGGACTGCTTTCCAGGCATGAGACAGCTGGTAAGAGATTACCAGTTCTTTCTGGGAAAGCCAGAGAGCCGGGTCCAAGCACACTGTGAAGAAGGGAGGTGGGGGCAAGGGCCTTCCAATCTGGGAGGTGCTCAGCTCCCAGCAGTGAATGTGGGGCTACATTCAGCTTCATGAGTAGAAGGTGCAACTGGAACAGTATCTGAGGGTCAGAGGGCCCTGGGGTGCTGAAACCCAAGTACTCAAGCCTGATTTTCTGAGCCATGCATAACCATCAATGGTTCAGAAGTGAGGTGGGCCATTTTGTTTACTAGTGCCTATTCCATCTCCTCCTTTGTCTAAACCCAAGAATAGGTTGGGGATTGGGTTAAATCTTGGGAAGAAAAGTGCAGTGAACTTCTAGATCTGGAACAGGAGACTCACAATCAGAAGTTCAACCTGAGGGAGCTCCTCAGGACTGAAGGGTACTGGCACTGACCTTGTTTGGTTCATATAAGAAGCCTCCAAAAGGCCCTCGCCAGAAAGCCATGTCTCCTGTTCTCCAGGATTCCACATACCGGGACATTAGCCCAGTCTGGTAGCACTGGAAGCAAACATGGAGTGGTCAGAGGGCAGGCATGTGCTGTTGTGCAGATCATTCTGACTATCAAGTGGAGCCCCTCCTGCATGCTCAGGATCCTCCAAGAGGGCCTCATGTCACTTTCCTCTATGCCCTATAGGTTGGTGCTGTCACCTGCAGTGATACCTACCTATACAGGGTGGATGGTGAGGCTGGAATGAAAATCCACAGGACCTAGCAATTTCAGCAAGGTCTCAAACCCAAATGCTGTGCAGGAAATGCAGCCCAGTGAAGAACCAGGTGGTGACTAATGCAATGAACACTCAGCATCAGGAAGACAGCAGGCAGAGCTGGGATTGCAGTAGACTGGCAAGGGATGCTCTTTCTAAAAGGGAAGCCACTTTACAGGTTCCAGTCCACAGTCTGTGGGGTAGAAGATGCCAGATCTGCTTGATTCCAAGATGGGCAGGAGATCCATATTTTCATTAAAAATTTTCTCACTTCTGAAATGTCAGCAACAAACCTAAAACTCCACAACCCTGCACAGACCAGAGCCAAGTACATTTGTATACTGGACTCAGCTTGCAGGTCACCCATTTGCAATTTCTGGCTCACTGTATCCCACCTCCTGGTGGGATAACTAACAAAGGGTGTCTGTTTGCTCTGTTCTGGGCACCATGCTGGGGCAGAAGGCACACAGCTGGAACAGAATCTCCATGAAGATAGCAGTATCTGAACCATGGGTATTCAGCAATAAACATCTGAATCCATTTATCCAGAGTCAGGCTTTGGCTTAAGAAGCTCATAGTGTAAGAGGGAGCTACATCTCTGACATAAGGTAGAAACTGCCTAATACTCTATGAAGAGGGTAGTGTCAGTGGAGCCCTGAGGAGGCGTGGTCACTCTCAAAGTGAGATAAGGATGGCTTCTCGGACCTTGAGCTAGACAGTGAGGAACAAGCAAGATTGAACTGCCAGGGGTTAGAAGCAGACATACAGAGAACACTGGGCATCTGCAGCAGTAGTCAAGCACAAGAGAGCCCAAGTTTTCTTTTGGGGGGAACAGATGGCCATGGAGGGAGGGGTAAGGTGAAGGGAAGTCTGAGACACAATGGGTACCTGGAGTAAGTATCCCCAGTCTCGAAGGAGAGACTAGGTTTTTAGTGGCTGGACCTGCCTTTGAGCATCCACAGCTGCCCTAGATACTATCCCTGAGTCTGCAGACACCACTGTATGAGTACAGAAATCCCTGCTAACCTGGGAGAGGCCTGGGAGGGAAGGTTTGCCCGTCTTACAGGAAGCATTGTTGGAGCATATTTTGTTTCTGGCCCCACTTTAGGGAACGTAAAAACCCCAGCTATGGCAGAGGTCCCATGACACAGATAGCACTAAGAAAAGGGGAAAGATTCTTCTGCCACACAGAGCCTGGCATGGAATAAATGCTCATGGAAAACTGACATTGAACTTTTGTCCTACTGTCCAAGGGGCTTTAAGCTTCATTTCTTCATCCGTAAAATAAGAGATGATGTGGTCTACTTGAGGTCATAAGAGAAAATGCTAAAAAGAGTTACAAGCAATACCTTGTGCCTAGCAGGTGCCTGAAAAGCAGCTCTCCTTCCTTTCCTCATGGGAAAGTAAACCTACAAATTCCCAGTGCCTTCCCAATTTGCAGAGACATTTCCAACTCTTCCTAGCCAGTGGCTTAGGGATAATGAGGTACCTCTCTAAATTATAGTGGCTTCCCAGTAAACGAAGGAGAAAATCAGCCTAGCAGCTGGGAGGGATCCAGCTGCTCTGAAGGACTATCTCCAGGCTTATCCTCTCAGTAGAAACACCCTAGACAAGCAGTGCAGGGAAGCAGGCCATTTGGAGAGGATTTGTGGAATCTCCCAGACAAACAGTAGCGTGCAGAAGGGAGCCCATCCAGGCTTATGTGGGAGGGAATAAACATTCGGGCTCTGCAAGGAGGCAGGGAAGCAGTAGCCCAAGACGGCTCTGGGTCTTGGAGTCAGGGCTTGCCCACCCATAGCACTTCTTCCTCTCTGCAGACCTTGGGTCCTCTTGACCAGTGAATTAGGATGCAGCCTTAAGCCTTCTATATTGATGCTCTCTAGGATTCCACTAGGGAAATGGTCTTACAGGCATGTCCAACCTGTGGCCTATGGGCCACATGCAGCTGAGGAGAGCTGAATAGATGAATGTGCCCCACACAAAATTGGAAAGTTACTTTAAAACATTATTAGGGTTCTTTTGTGATTTTAAAAAACTCAACTGGGTGGTTCTGGAGCATGAACTGATGGAAATGGTGCAGAGTCAGGGATGGTCTACTTTGTAGATGACAGCATGACATTGCAATGTCAAAAGGTTGGACATGCCTGGCAGAGCTACACACCAGAGCTACATGCCTGGCAGAGCTACACAGGTTGGCTCACATGAAGATGCTCTTGCTGGAGGTCAGACATCAGGGGTCAGTAGTTTCATGAAGATTCACTTACTTTCTTCATACTCTGGGCCTTCACAATTGTGTACATTGGTTGCCTAGACCTTGGGTCACCAGGGCATTTTGTATGCCACCCACCTTACTCAACTCTTCCACCTGCCCAGCTGCCCCATAAGCACCTTCTTCTTCCACCACTTGGGTTGAGTACAGTTCCCACAAGACCCAATCTGTACCAACCTTCCCTGTGTCTATCAGTTCCCTCAGCCTAGAATGCCATTCCCTGCCACTATTAATTCATACCCTTCAAGGCCCACCTCCCAGAGCAAGGTGTCAGGTTAGTTCTGTCTGCAGGGTCTTTATGTCCTACCTTCTGCCCAATTTTCTCTCCCAGCATCCTGTCCTGTTCCCTCCTGTGTCAGGATGAACAACTTCCCTAATTCATGCCTCTTTAGCTCTGCTGCTTCCAGCTCTCAGAGCTTCCTTCCCATATTTCTCACTCCATGCTCACATGGCTCAAATAAACAGCATCTCCCAGAAAGTCAGGCCTGTGTTCCCTGTACCCCTATCTGCTGAGTTCGGCAGCCTCCTCTGCACAGCTAGCATCATGCTTATTGTCTTGATCTGAGCACTTGTTGTGAGACGGGTCCCTCCAGGTCAGGTACTGTGTCTGACTCACCTCTGGACCTCTGTGTCCAGCACCAAGTAGGTATAAGGACTTGTTCCTCTCCTCATTTTAGCTTGCTACTCTGTCTCTACAAGTGGGTAAAAGGTGAGAGGGCAGAATTTTCCTTAAAATCTCCCCCAAACATGCCCTCTGTAGGTAGCCCAGTAGCACCCTCCCTAGGAAAGGAAAAGGAAGAGGTATCCCCATAACTAACTGCTCCCACAAACCAGTCTTTTCTCATGCCAACAATGGGTGGAAACCAACCCACCAATCAAGATAGAAAGGGAGGAGTAAGTCCATAGCATCTTATAACATCCTCCGTAACAATCAACTCACCTTAATTAAAACATCAAAGTATCCTTCTGCAGTGGCAGGGCTGATGGGAGTATAGGCTCTCTGAATTTCTAGGCCATCTACTACTCCTCTGGGAAGGAGAAGCACAGAGTCAGACAATCAGAAAGTCTGGCAGTCAGTCATTCAACAAACTCCTATTAGGCACCTCCTCTGTGAAAGTGGGCTCCCTAGAGGTTATCACTGAGGGACAGGCAGCAAAAACTCTGAGCTCAACCCTACCACATGCTGCTTGTGAGACCTGGGCAGGTCACTTAATCCCTCAGCAGAAGCATCTGCAAAATGACCACCTAAGTCCTGGTTGTGTGACTTAAAAAGTATACTGATATGAGCAGTTCAGGAGACATTACTGTGGTTTTCTCGTCATCTTCTCCACTACAAAATAATACAGATTAAAAACAACTGCTAAGATTTATGAAACACTTACCAGGGAGCATCTGAACTAGAAGAGTCCTCAAAAGCATCCAAGCCCAAGGCCCTGCTCTTGTATAAATTGACTCTATAATGTTATCAGCAACAGGGTTTAGGCTATCAATGATAAGCAGTGATAGTAGCCATAGTGTATTAACACCTATTGTGTATCAGGCACATTATATGCAGAATTTAATTTTAAATGTTTTATTTTTTATTTATTTATTTTATTTTATTTTTTGGTCTTTTTTGAGTCAGGGTCTCTTTGTAGCCCCAGCTGTCCTGGAACTCACTGGCTGGCCTTGAACTCACAGAGATCCGCCTGCCTCTGCCTCCCAAGTGCAGGGGCTCAAGGCTACGCCACCACGCCTGGCTATTTTTTTTTTTTTAAATGTGTATCAATGTATTGCCTGCTTGCATATAAATGCACCCATGTCATGCAATGCCTGCAGAGGTCAGAAGAGGGCATCAAATCCCTTGGAACTAGAGTTAAGGATGGTTGTTAGCTGCCATGTGGGTGCTGGGAATCAAACCCGGGGTTCTCTGCAAGAACAGCCAGTGCTCTTAACTGCTGAGTCATCTCTCCAGCCCCCATAATTTCATTTTAAATGACAACCAAGGCCTAGAGAGATAACTTGGCATTTAAGAGCACTTGTTGTTTTTGCAGAGATCCCAGTTCCATTCCCAGCACCCATGTTGGGCACCTCACAATAACCTGTAACTCCAGCTCCAGGGAATCTAATACCCTCTTCTGACCTCCTCAGGTTCCTACATGCATGTGGTACATATGCATATATTCAGGAACTCACACATAAAAGAAAAATAAATATTTAAATATAATAATAACCCAAATGCAGAAAGCAATGCTTAGAGAAGGAAAGTTACTTGCATAGCTAGCATTCAATGATGGCTTCAATTTCAAGCTAAGTTTTTGCTCCTCAAAGCATCTCAGGAAACTGGGTGTAGTGGTACATCCCTGTAATCCCAGCACTTGGGAGGCTGAGGCCAAAAAAGTATGAGTTTGAAGCTGGCATATGCTACATAATGGCCTTGCCTGAAAAAAACAACAATGAAACCAACTTCCCAGGAATACCTAAATAGTCTTCCCTCAAACCCTACTGTGAGCAAAATATTCCACTCTGATGTTCACAAAGATTAAAAAGGCCCCGTCCAAATATGTCAAATGCAGAGGAGCTACACAGAAATATTTAAGAACTACTTATAAAACTGATGAGGAAACAAGGAGAGGAACACATAGCACGGCTTAGTTGCAAAGTGCATTATGTCACCTACTGACACAGAGGCAAAACCTGACATGTCTCAGAAGGAGTGACCACTCTTATCTGTGAACTTAAGTCTGCTGGAGTCAGTAACTGAAGCACAAACAGGCCACTGACAGATGAAAGTTGGGAAAGGAAGGGAAGTAATTCCAAGCAGATGGAACAACCCAGGCTGGACAGTACAGACAAGTCAGGTGCTGGTGGTGGATTGTGAGGCTGGGACTGGGGCACATGAGGAGCAGGGCAGGGTGGGAAAGGAGGCTAGGCAGCCTCGGATTAGGATGACATTATGGAAACAGTAAGGTGCACCAGAACATATATGAATCAGAGTGACGTGTCAGATGTGTCAGGAGTGTCACTGGGTGGTAGGGAGGAGGGAGGAGCCAGCCTAGAAGCAGGGTGTTCTAGCCACCCCAGGTTTATGGATGGAGGGGTTGTAACCTGCATTGTGGCTTTTCTTGTATCCTGGAACAGTGAACTTCGAGGATTGCTGACAAGGTCATAGGTTAGAGGAGCTGAACACAAGCACCAGCAACCAGTCTGACTAGCAATACGTTCTCTTCTGGTGCCTGCCTTGTCTCCTGGCTATGTTTTCTGTCTTCTTTGTTGGCTCTGCTTCCTCCTACCAACCGCAAAGCTCCAGTGTTCTTGAGGTTCAGATATATGCCCTTTCTTCTTTCCGCACATATGCTTCCCAATGCCATCTGGGTATGCAACGATGTCTCCTAGATCCATGTCTACAGCCCTGATCACTCTGCTTAGCCTCAGATATCCACAGCTGACTGTCTGGCAGATGCCTCTCCCTGGCAACATGGGTACAGGGATCAGGCTGGAGACCAGCAGAACACTACAGCAGGCCAGAGGAACCTTAGAGGAGTACTGATACAGTGCAGTGTTCAGTATTCACCTTAGAGGAGGAATACTGACGTAGTGCAGGAGCCAGGTTGTCTAGGTTGGAATCCTGGCTCCATGACTTGGTAACTATGTGATATTGAGAAAGTTCTTTTTTGTTATTTTTATTTTTTTGAGACAAGCTTTCACAGAGCCCAGGATAGCCCCAAATTTGCTATGTAGCTGAGGCTGGCCTGAACATCTAATCTTCCTACCTCTGCCCCCTACATGTTTCAGTCCTTCTCAGCGACAGCGCCTGTTCTATCAGTGGATGACAATTACATTAGGTTAAAACCACAGTCTCTAAAGTCAGCCTGCTTGCCTTCAAATCCTGATCTAACACTTCCTGTGTGATCTTGAGAAAGTTCCTGAACCTCTCTCGCTTCAGTGTCCTCTGGGGAATGATAATAGCCCCTATCACCTAGGACTTTGTGAGGGTTAAATGAGTTCATGAATATAAGTACACGCACCTGTGCCTTGGACGGTGCCATTAAAGTGCTGGTGTTATTATTATCTATTACAAGAATGCATTATCCAGCTCCATGCCAAGAACCCTGAGTCACATGTGTCTATTTTTTTTTCTGAGAATATTGGTTTCATTTTTTTTTTTTAATTTCTTTTTTTCTCATTACAGCTGGTTTGTTTGTTAGTTTGTTTTGTTTGAAGCAGGGTCTCCCTGTAGCCCCAGCTGTCCTGGAACTCACTATGTAGACCAGGCTGGCCTTGAACTCACAGAGATCCGCCTGCCTCTGCCTCCCAAGTGCTGGGACTAAAGGCATGCGCCACCACGCCCGGCCGAGAATATTGTTTTTAATTGCAAAACACACATAACAGATTTTTCTATCTTAAGTGTACACAACAGTGTCATTTAGTCCATCCCACAATAATGTGAAACTATAAGCATTATCTAGTTCTCAAACTTTGAAACTTTAACATATAAAGTGATGGGTTTCATCATGGCATTTAAAAAAATTTTTTTATCATTAAAAAAAAAATTTTTAATAACATGCTTATTTTTAAGATGGCAGACAGAAGCTCAAGAGACGTCAAGCAAGCCACCCCAGGCCACTTTCCTAGTGGTAAAGGGGGAAAGCAAATGCTGGTCCTCCCACTACCCGAGTGTACCGTAAGACAAGGTGCTGGCCAGGATGCAGGCCAAGCTGGCTGTTCGCAGGCAGTATAAACCGGACAAGATAGGTGTCTTTGGTGAGTTTCTCCACACCACAGATGTGGAAGGCTAGGAAGGTCTCTGGTCTCAACTTGGTGGAGCAGCTCTGCAACAGAAAAAGACCTGCTAGCTAGAGGCCAGGCCCAAGGGACATACCATGTCCTTGCAAATTTCCCCAATTACAGCGTCTCAGCTGTTAAGTTTTCTGCCTGACAGATTGGCCCCACCTTACTTTCCTTTGATCTACAGCACAGTGCATGGTACTTACCTGGCGTTTAAATCTTCTGTGGCTCCCTTTAGCTGATCAAGCTATATAGGGTGCTGTGGACAACCTCAAACTTCATTTTATCTGTCATATAACAGATACCAGACTTTTATTCCTTCTCCCAAGACTATCTGCCACCTCCTACCTTAGAGTCTGTATTGTTCAAGTTGTATCCTTTATACAAAACACTCACCTATGGTGTATCAAACATCTGCTCAGCCTTTTAAACCTGCTAAATTTCAGATCTGCAGAGCTGAAAAATGGATGGGTCCTTAGAGATGATCTAATCCAACATCCTTATACCATATATGGGGTAACTAAGGCCTGAATGCTAGTGGCTTATGAAAGGTCTCAGGTTTAGGGGTTCAAAAGGGACACTGAGGCAAACTGTCCCTTTGGTTAGCACATTTATTAGAAGAGTTATGAACACTAGAGATGGATAAGATAGGAGTTCAAAGAAGGTTCAGGCCCACAAGGCTAAGTGGGGGCCCCTCTTACAGGTTTCAGAGACAGAAGGGAGGTCCCATATCATGCAGTTGATAAGTAGCCCACAATACATTCTTGCAGTCAGGCTGTCTCTAATTCCAGGGTGGCAGGGAAAGGGAGAAAAGTTTGGCCATTTAGTTAATGTGCATCCATCATAGGATGGACCACTTGTAGCACTAATAGCTTAGGGTGCTTGGAAAACTTCCTTTTGGGAAGTGAGAATTAGAAAGTCACAGTCACAGTATGGTGCCTGCCGTTTCTTTTACAGTAGCTGTAAAGGCAGAAAGCAAGAGGCTGCTACAAGTGAGCATGGCCTGAGTAGTCCCTAGTCTGGACCTAATAGCTCACTTGTTCAAAATCACACTGTGAGCGGGAACTCAAATCATGTTTTCTGGGTCTCAGCTCACTGCCTTTACCATTCCAAACTCTCCCTATGCCTCCTCCAGGAAGCCTTTTCTGAATGCCATGAACTTTGAGCTCTCTCTCTCTTGTATAATCCCCATACTTTGCTGATCTGACCTGCCCAGGTTAGGATGCAGCACCAAACTTGGAATCTCAGTAACCATGGCAGTTTTGACAATGTCTCAGCACTGACAGAAACCTTCAAGCTTGGTGTCTCAGCCAGTCTCCACTGCAACCCCTTCTGAGATTCTATCTAACCAGGATGACCTATCCTTAATCAGCCAGAGTGCCTGAGAACCCTGTCACAGCTGCCTGAGGCTCTGGAAAGAAAATTAGGAAGGAGTCAGGAACACCGTGATTGACCCATCTTAACTGCTTTCCCCTCTGGGTCTCAGTTTCCTACTCTGTAAAAAGAGGTTATTCATCTGATAGGGCTGGGATTTTAAATATGTACCACCATGTCTAGCATGGTAGCTGTATTTCATAAAATGTAAGTTGCTATGGAAATACAAAATCTTTGTATATTATTACTTTAAAAGTTAAAAGATAAGGGGCTGGAGAGATGGCTCAGTGGTTAAGAACACTGGCTGTTCTTGCAGAAGACCCCGGATTCAAATCCCAGCACCCAACGTGACAGCTAATAACTGTCCATAACTCCAGTTCCAGGGGATCCGATGGCCTCTTCTGTCCTCCATAGGCACTGCACGACATGTGTCCATTTACATGCAGGCAATACACATAAAATAAATAAAAAATAAAATATTTTAAAAAGTTAAAAGATAAAATTGTTAGATTGAAGTATGCAGTTTTGTAAGACATAAAATATTGTAGTGCCAAGTAATTTTCTGTTACAGTAGGTGATTACAGATACTATTTACTGAACACCTACTATGTATGAGATGTATGAAGTCATCTAGGAATTCAGAAAAGGAAGAAAAAGTCAGTAAGGTCCAGAAAAAGGGAGTAACAGCACCACTATTTTCCTAAGATATAATACCATATACTAGTTTGCTCTATGAGGGCAAGGACTATGTCTTGTTTGTTCTCAAAACCTCAATAGCTTACAGGGCCCAGTGTATAACAGATACTCAGTAGACATTTACTGAATGAAATAATTATCAGACTCTGTGCTAAACAGTACAAATGTCCAGCTCCATTTTATAGATGAGAGAATTAAAGCTCTGGTAGGTTCAGACTTGGACTAAAACCAACAGCCACTAGTAAGTGTGTTTCAGGCCTGGACTTTCCCCCTACCCTGCCCCCCCGATCTATCTGCTCCCATTATGCCTACTCTTTCCTTAGTCAGGAAGGCTCCCCACAGTGGGTAGATACTGCCACTGTAGGCCTCTAGTCAGGTGTGGACTTTTCACCTGTGACTGCTTTCCACTCAGCAGACTCCTGTCGTTGCTGGTTTGGGCTGCCTTCCATCTTTCCAGGTCTCGGTGATAGAGGTCAAACACACAGGGTGAGCAGCCACTGCCGCAGCACTGGGAAGGCAAGGGCTCCACAGGCCGCAGCTGCAGCCAGATTTCTTCAGTGTTCTTCTCTTCCCCCTCTCCCATTGGCAGTGGGGTTTGGGCGCAGTGGGAGGGACAACCGTGAGACCACAGGCTCAGGTTCTTTCTTGCCAGCCTGGGAGATGAAAAACATAGGGGTTCTATTCTGGCCTCCTCTACTCCTCATATTCTCCCAAAAGCCTGCCAGGCTCTGCACATGCAGTGGGGACAGGAATGGACCAGGGATCTGCTATTAGGAGGGGCACACATACTCCTTACTATCATTGGTTTTCTGTATGAAATAAATCTTTTCTTAGTTAGAGAAAAGGGTTTCAGAAAACCTTTTCTTCTCTCTCTGATTTATTATTATTATTATTATTATTATTAGTAGTAGTAGTAGTAGTAGTAGTAGTAGTAGTAGTAGTAGACAGGGTCTCCTGTAGCCCCAGCCCACCTGAAACTCACTATGTAGACCAGGCTGACCTCAATCTCATAGAGATCCACCTGCCTCTCCCTCTCAAGTGCTGGGATTAAAGGCATGTGCCACTATGCCAGGCATTGATTTATTCATTTTTATTTTGTGTGTAGGAGTGTTTTGCTTACATGTAAGTTCATCTGTGTCATGCAATGCCTGGAGAGGCCAGAAGAGGGTGCTGGATCCCCTGGAACTGGAGTTATGGATAGTTGTTAGCTGCCACATGGGTGCTGGGAACCAAACCTGAATTCTCTGGAAGAGCAGCCAGTGCTCTTAACCACTGAACCATCACACCAGTCCCAAGAAAACCTTTTCTATTGTGTGAGAGCTCTGAATTCAGGAAGGTTCTGAGCTGAGAGCCCAGTGAGGGCAAAGTTGTTATCTTACTCTTTCTGTATTCTCCCACCAAACACAGATTATGATATGTAAATCTGACTACTGACTGATGAGTGCTCATTCACTTTACAAATATGGTCTGAGAGCTAGGCACAGGATTAAGTGCTGGAATGTAATGAAGGTGAACAGGACACAGTCCCTATCCTTGTAAGACCCAGCACAGTATTATATCCATCCAATCAACCCATCTTTATGCCAATTACTCTCTGGGTTTGGGGGTATTTAAATGAGATAAGCAAAAATGCTTGTTAACTGTAAATTGTTGCATAGTGTGAAGGTTAGTCATTGTCCTCTCCCTTAAATCTGCCTTCATAAAGCTGGTGGTGCTGCACACCTTTAATCCCAGCACTTGGGAGGCAGAGGCAGGAGGACCTCTGTGAGTTCAAGGCCAGCCTGGGCTACACAGTGAGTTCCAGGCCAGCTGGGGCTACAGGGAAACCCTGTCTCAAAAAGCGCCCCCACCCAAATCTGCCATCATGTTCTAAGGGGCTTTTATAACCCTACTGTCTCCGTAATTTTGGAAACTGGTAGAGAAGTTGACCACATCAATCCTGATTTTAAAGATATGGTTCATATCTTTCCTCTCAGCTTCTGCCTTTCTGGTCTAAGACACTATCATTGATACTGCCTCTGCCTGGATGCCTCTCCCGTTCTTCAGGCTTTGGCTGAACGGTCATCTCCACTCAGGATACCTTCCAGTGTCCCCCTTGTCATTACCAAACACCCTGTTTCTATCATGTATTCACTTATAAAACATGCACTATATATGAAGCAGTCCTCTAGGTGCAAGGGACACTGCAAGTGAAGAAACAGAGAGTCCTGCACTCACGGGAGAATCACTAAAGTCAAAATGAAAAGCATACAGCAACGTTAGTGGTTAAGTGAGAGAAAAGAACCTAGGGAAAAGGGACAAGAAACGTGGGTGCGGTGATCGTGTACGCTGTTTGCACTCAGTCCCCTAAACCTAAGCTCGGCATGCCACCAGTGCCCACCAGGTGCTTAGCACAGCACCGACAAACGGGGAACACGGCATAGGAGGTGCTAAGCAAAGGAGCGGCTCCCAGCTCAGGCACTGCCTCTCAGACGGGGAAAGAAAAACTCCTCAGGAACAGAGAGGAAAAGTAACTCTTTCTGGCGCTAGGCCGTGTGCAGAGCTGGGGCGGACACCCGGCCCCTCAACAACTCCCGCGAGCCGCAGTCAGGAAAGCGTCGGCAGGCAGTGAAAGTGGGCCGAGAGAACCCGCCGTTCTCGAGCCCCCTTCCGAGCTGAGCTCGCTAAGACATTTCTACTAGTTTTACAAACAAGGGACACTGCAACCTTTCTCAAGCTCTAAATTCCCCGGAGCGGCCAAAGACGCCTCAACTTCAGCTGCGAGGGTCCCGGAACTATCCACGGGCAGCAGAGGCAAGCACCACCACTCACCTAGAATCCTCCAACTTCCCTACGAGAAGAACCTGGAGCCCCCGGAGGCGGGGAGCACTTGGCGCGTTTCACCTATTAAGAAGATGGAGACGGCCCGAGGGGCGGGGCAAGACGAGAATAGTTTGACTGTGATTGGTTAAACTGCCTGCCACTCGCAAAACGGGACTCTGCGCCTTAGTCCCTTTCGCTCCCGGCACGCCCTGCGCGCGGAAAGATGGCGGCGTCCAGTTAGAAGTCTTGTGGATACGGGGTCGGAATGGCGTTGGCGTCCGGGCCCGCAAAGCGGGCGCTAACTGGCTCTGGAAAGCTCGGCTTCGGGGGCTGCGGGGCTCCGAGACGCGGGGCTTATGAGTGGGGCGTTCGCTCCACGCGGAAGCCCGAGCCTCGCCCCCTGGACAGGGTGTATGAGATTCCGGGACTGGAACCCATTACCTACGAGGGGAAGATGCACTTCGTGCCCGGGCTGGCGCGGCCGCTCTTCCCGCCGTGGGAGCCCGGCTGGAATAACCCGAGGTTCCATCGCTCGTCCCCGATTCACGAGCAGCGGCTTTACAAGGAGCAGGCCTGCTACGTCTTCCACCAGCGTTGCCGGCTCCTTGAGGGTGAGGCCCTAGGACAAACCGGGGAACCCTGTTCTTTGCTCAGCCCTAAGCCGGATTGTCCGGAGGGTCTCGTTTCTTCCTCTTCGAAGTGGGGCCATAGTGACATCCATCTTCTGAGAGTTGTCACTATCAAGTGGAATGGAAAGAGGAATGTTTGTGTGAGGGAGCAATAGAGAATTTGCGTGTAAGGTGTTTGCTCTTTAAGACTGTCACTTCATTTCACAGGTTGGCCAGTTCTGAGAGGGGAAGCGATTTACCTGTACAGGCACAGAGGGCTGGTAGGTGATAGTGAAGCCAGGCCTACAACTCTGGTTTCCTAGGTTAGAGTTTTTTTGGTGTTTTTTTTCCAAGGAAAGAATTTGGGGGCCATTGTAGGCCAGCGTCTGAAGATGCTTAGTCCTGTACCTGCAACCTGATTGTCTAGCCATTAACCACTTTCAGTGGCCCCATTGGGTGCTATGAAGGATCTCATAGGCCATGACTCCTTTGAGTGACTCTGGTAATAGAATACCAAGTGGATGTATGTGTTCACAGTATTTACAAGTTAAGATTATATTCATTGAACTAGGTTGAAGATCTATATCCTACACTTTGACCAGTCACAGAGAGGTTTTGTAAAATTGCAATAAAACCCTGTAAGATACAGGGCTAGAAAAGCTGAGGTTGTGGAAAGATTGTGGGCTTTAGGGGAGACAGACTCTAGTTCTTCTATCCGTGCCATGTTAAAGATAGGTGACATTGCTGAGCATGGTGGACTTTAAAGATAAGTGACGTTGCTGGGCATGGTGGTGCATGCCTTTAATCCCAGCACTTGGAAGGCAGAGGTAGGCAGATCTTTGTGAATTTGAGGCCAGTTTGGTCTACATAGTAACTTCCAGATCTGCCAGGGTTAGATAGTGACAGACCCTGTCTCTAAAAAAACAAAGTAAGTGACTTGAAGCAAATTTCTTAGTCTGAATTTCCTCCTTCATTTCATAAAATCCCATCTAACTTGTAGGTAAAGTTTGTGGTACAGACAATGATATTCAGTAAATGGCAGCTCAAATTATTACTTATTTTATGTGTGTACTAGTGAACTATACAAGCTTAATATTTTATCTGTTTTCAGATTTAGAGAACAATGGTAGTTTTAGGCCCCAAGCTGAGTTTACCTCACTCCAAAGTTTTTCCTGCTGTACCACTAGATGCAGAAGTTACATCGTTTGCTAAAGGGAGCCCTCAGCTTGTGTCAGAGCTTGCCAGCAGTAAGTATGTTACAGAGCTGGGGTCAGCTAATTAGGCAGTACCCTGTTAATGTAAATAAAGTTTTATTGAAAACTGTGGCACATGTACTTTACAACAATGGCAGAATTGAGTAGTTGTGATGGACGTACATCTCATAAGTGACTTATTAGGGTTAGGGCTCTTCTAGTCAGGGTTAGGATATAGATTCATAGAAGGGATCTTAAGTGAAGGACTGGTATCCACTGAGCTAGTCTCACAGCTTTGGATCTATCTGCCTGCAGGGAGTCAACCATAGGGTCTCAGCTGCCTTAAATACCATTTGAATCCATCCCAGGCGGGCACTCAGTCCCACAGCAAGCTCTCACTACCTTGAAGTAGATAGCATTCCTGAAGATGAGCTGTAATTTGACTCCTCTTCACTTTTGCTTTTTTTTAACTTAGATGTCCCAAAACAAATCCAGCCCTCTCTTGAGGCAGCCCTTTTTCCACGGTGTTCCCTGGCAGGCATGAGCATCTCTTCCTGAAATGCTTTTTCTTTTCATTGTTTTATGCTGATGGCCCCAAGGTATGAAGCAGGCTCTCTGGCTTACTAAGACCAAGTTAATAGAAGGCCTTCCCAAGAAAGTGCTTAGTCTTGTTGATGATCCAAGGAATCACATAGAGAACCAAGATGAGCGTGTTCTGAATATCATCTCTCATGCCCGTCTCTGGCACTCCACTGATGATATTCCCAAGAGAGAAACCTACTGGTAAGTTTTCCCCAAGTAAGTAAGATTTCCAACTGAGGAATATTGGAGTTAACCCATTGCTATAAATCTTCAAGTCTCTCTTCTTTTTTTTTTTCTCCAAGCCCAGTCATTATGGACAGTCTCATACAGCTGTGTAAATCCCAGATGTTCAAGCACCCTTCTCTGGCCAGACGGATCTGTGCCCAAAACTACTCATTATCCACCACCTGGAATCGAGGTTGGTCATCTCGTATACCCAGAACCCTTGCTGTTTTGTGGGTTTTTTTTCCTTCCAGTCCTCTGCCCTCAGCCCCACCTGCTTCCATCCTTCCTATCCTACCCCTGCTACATTTTTCTTGGGCTCAGACACAACCTTTATAGGGTCTCCCTATGTAGCACTGGCTGGCTGCAAACTTGTGATCTTCCTGTGGCCCCAGTTGACCTGGAACTCGCTATGTAGACCAGGCTGACTTTGAACTCACAGAGATCCACCTGCCTCTGCCTCTCCAGTGTTGGGATTTAAAGGCATGGGGTACCATCCCTGGCCTCTTTTCTGTTTTTTTTTGGTTTTTTTTGGTATTTTTGAGACAGGGTCTTCCTGTAGCCCCAGCTGGCCTAGAACTCACTATGTAGACCAGGCTGGCCTTGAACTCACAGAGATTCACATGCCTCTGCCTCCCTCCCAAGTACTGGGATTAAAGGCATGTGCCACCACGCCTGGCCTCTCTTTTTTTTTGGTCTTTTTGAGACAGGGTATTCCTGTAGCCCCAGCTGTCCTGGAACTCACTGTGTCACTACGTAGACCTTGAACTCACAGAGATCCGCCTGCCTCTGCCTCCCGAGTGTGCTGGGATTAAGGCATGCGGCTTTTTTTTTTTTTTTTTTTAAACCATTTCAAAGACTTTTTTTTTTTTGGTGTTTTGAGACATGGTCTCCCTGTAGCCCCAGCTGGCCTGGAACTCACTTGTAGACCAGGCTGGCCTCGAACTCAGAGATCCGCCTGCCTCTGCCTCCCAAGTGCTGGGATTAAAGGCGTACGCTACACACCCGGCCTTTCAAAGACTATTATTTTTTCAATCATTAACAGCCAACCATATCCATTCAGCACCTGGCAGTATGTTTGGGTGTTTCTAAATGCTGAAGACAAGGAAATAAACCACATCGATCTCTGCCCTCCCACATTCAACAGCTTTCTTCCCCCTTTCACACTTCTGCAGTCTTCTAAGTTCCTGTTCAACAAAGTTGCTAGTGTGGTCTTTCTACAGGGCAAGTCTTTCCATGTGTTCCCCAGTACTGTCTCCCAGGAACTTAGACAATTCATTATGGGATGCAAGGCCATCTATCTCATCCTTCAAGCCTTTTCTTCTCTGCTGCCCCATTCCCCTATCTCTTAATTAGCCATTTGCAGCTTTTTGGTATCCAGCTTCTCCACCTGTGTGTTTTTGCATATGCTGTGTGCTTGGTAGTGCATGCTGATATTTCAGATGAGCGTCAGTAGACACAGGTGTTTCTAAGTGATGGCCTCATGGAGCAAGGAAACCAGCTGTGGAATATCTTGGGCTTTAAGGATATCTCTTTGGTCAGGTTTCCCCAGCTTTCCCCTTTGTATATGGACTTCCTGGCAAAAAGTCAGGAAGAAGTAATGGCACCACTAAGGAAATTAGTGCACCTCATTAATGGAGAGTACTTGTTGGCTCATCATCAAGTATTACCTCTAATTAAACTGCCCCATTTGGAACTGTCACCAGAGGAGGGATGTGGAGGGAATTGAATTAGAAACCACACTAGAGCAATCTATGGGGAGAATCTAAAACCCAAGGTTAGGAGAGGTCTGGGCACATTTGTGTTCCTTCACATTATGTGTGAGAAAATAGGAAATGCTTTAGGAAACTAATCTTGAGGTGCAGTTATCACAGAATTTATCCATCTGCAGATGTAGCATCGTTTTTTATATATCTAGTAAGGGAGGCCACACACTGATTAAATGGCAGTACTGTTGACCAAACCAATTTCTAAACCTATAAGAAAACTAACCCTGATCCTCACACTGAGATTTGATTCTCTGAACCAGGTACCTGCAGAGGAAAGTGTCTGTTCCCAGAGCCCCTCAGATGACTGTGTTCAACAGTGTTTCCAAGCACATTTTATCTGGCGGTGGCACATGGTCTCCCATGGGCATCTCCACACATTCACAGCAGCAGGCTTGCTGGTCTGTCAGCTGTGAGGTTGTTTCCTCTGACCACCTGTACCTCTGTGTAGAATACATACTAATCTAACTTAAATGCGGCTCTCTGGTACAGCTTTTCTTTACTCTGTTTTAAGAACAAGCTGGCCTGGTTGGAGAGATAGTTCAGTAGTAAAGAGTGTTTAACTGCTCTTGTAGAGGACCTAGGTTTTGTTCCCAGCACCCACATCAGATGACTCAGGCTCACAACCAGCTGTAATTTTAGTTTGGGGTTCTGATGCTTTCTGGCCTCCAAGGCATTTGCAAACTTTTGGTGTACATACACTCATTCAGGCACAAATCAATCAACCTTTAAAAAAAAACAACAAAACAAGCTGGCTCTCTGCCTGTGGTCTCAGTGTTTCCCTCTTGCCCTCTGATATCTTGTCACCCTGGTTTGTTTTTCCACAGAGGCACACACTCTGTGCCTTTATATCCTAGTCTTTTTCAGTGCCAGCAGACTGCTACCCAGGGGTGTTACAGCAGAGACAGTTTTTACCCTCTAGGGGACATTTGGCAGTGTCTTGATTGCTGTGACTTGGATGGGTTTGTGGGGGAGGGGAAGTGGAGGTGGAGAGTGATGCGTAGCGGGCAGAGGCCAGGGCTGCTGCTAAACACCTTACGTACACAAGACAGCCCCCCTTCACCAGAGAATTAGCTGATCCCAACTGAATAGTATCAAAGTTGAGAGACCCTGCTATCCAACTTCTGCCCAGTTTTAAGGTTCTGCTTCCTTCAGGAGGCTTCCTAGGCTTTGTGAGGCCATATCTGAATATAACGTGTACTTTTTGCTGTAGCACTTGCTGCTTACAGAGCTCCTTGAGAGAAAAGAGTAGTTCTTAGTCATCTTTGGGTCCAAGGCTTTGAGCTGGTGTTCTGGAAGATCAGGTTAGGGCCAAATGGGCATCCATGGATCAGAAGGCCTTAAGAGTTCATAAGGAAAGGAGGTATGGAGAAGTGTGCTCTAGTTCCTTGTCCTCTCAAGAACTTGTTAAATTTTTTTTTTTGTTTGTTTATGTGTATGAGCATTATGCCTGCATGTGTGTAAGTGTGCCCCTGTCATGCAGTGCTCGCAGAGGCCAGAAAAGGGCATTAGATCCCCTGGAAGTGGAGTTACAAACAATTGTTAGCCTCCATGTGGGTGCTGGGATTCAAACCCAGGTCTTCTGCAAGAGCAGCCAGTGTGCTCTTAACCACTGAGCCGTTTCTCCAGCCCCCCAGGATTAATATTCTAATGCCACATTTTGTGTTTTCTGCTCAGGCTGGTCATCTAGAAAAGCTGTAACAGACTTGGACTTAAAGGTTCATGAGAGATGAGGGCTTCATATTTTGCAGAGCTGAGAAAAGGCTTTAGACCAGGTTAGACTAATCATCTTTCCCCCCCTTTAGAGTCTCTTCTCCTTCAGGTCCGTGGTGCTAGTGGTGCCCGACTGAGTGCCAAGGATCCTCTGCCCTCCATTGCCTCCAGAAAGGAGGTTGAAGCTACCAAGAGTCATGTTCTTGAGACCTTCTATCCCATATCTCCCACCATCGATCTTCAGGAATGTCATGTTTATGATGTGAAAGATGACACAGGTAAGGAGCAGAGCCTTTGGATTACAGAAATAGGGAGCATGCTTTTTTTTAATGGGAAGGATATATTAAAAGTACTGGGTGCTGGTGCCTCACATGCATTGTCTCCTGGAATCTGTGTGGCAGCCTATGCTTGCTAGCTCTTCATTTTCTGCAGTTCATCTTAGGAATCACTTCCTCTCAGTTTCAATCAGGGGCCTTTTATCTGTCCTCCCACTGTCCCTGAGTCACGTTGGTTCTTGACCTGTCTGTGTTTGGATGTGATTGAGGCTCTAGACTGAGTTCACAGGCCATGGCAGACTCTACTCTAGTTCCATCCCTTATTCCGGTCTAGAGCTCAGCACAGTGTGTGCTGAGTGTCCATGTGCTGCAGAGTAGAGCAGCCTGAAGGACGAGGCATGCAGGAAAGCAGGGCTCTCAGCTAGTACTCTTCTCCAGGTTTTTCAGAGCCTGTATCCCCAGCCTTCTTCCTCCTTTTCACTTGTGTTCACTGATTCAGGTCACTTATTCTAGAAGCCCCCAACCCACCAAAGGGTTATTCATAGCAATGCTGAAGAAGCTCATGACTTGGTAGTCATGGCTGAGGTGAGCAGGTGCTAAAATGAAGTCACGAGATAGGAGGCAAGTTATTTGTTGCTAATGTTAATTGATTTCTGCTTTCTTCTTAATAACTACCACAGCTTTTAGGTTATCCATCTTTTTTTTAATATTTTATTTATTATTTTTATTTTATGTGTATGAGTGTATTGCCTGCATGTATGTGAGTGCACCCATGTCATACAGTGCTGTGGAGGTCAGAAGAGGGCTTTGGATTCCCCTGGAACTGGAGTTAAAGATGGTTCGTAGCTGCCATGTGGGTGCTGGGAATCGAACCCAGGTCCTCTGCAAGAGCAGTCAGTACTCTTAACCATTGAGCCCTCACTGTCATCTACACTTGAATGAGAGAGAAAGGACGGAGTTAAGATGCCTGTGCAGGAAGCACCTGGTACAATTTTGCAAGTGCTTTCTGTGAAGAGCCAAATAGTAACATTTGACACATTATAGGTTTTACAGACCACCTGTGGCTTCTGTCTCAGCTACAGGTAGACATCCATAAATCTATGAACACAGTGATGCACCAATAGAACCATTTGTGAAAGCAGGCACCAGGCAAGGTACAGCAGTAGGCTGACATCCACTGCCTGAGCTAGAGGGATAGCGGGTGCCTCCTCTGAGTCTGTGCCTACCCTGAGCCGAGGTCAGGAGTACTTTCTGAGGCTCTGTGGCAGGCTGGTGAATTTGTCTCCCTGCCCCTTCTGACTCTTCTCTTGCAGGATTCCGGGAGGGCTATCCTTACCCCTATCCCCACACCTTATATTTCCTGGAAAAGGCCAATTTACGGTCACACCGCTTTCAGCCAGATCAGCTGCGGACCAAGATGCTCCTGTTTGCTTTTGGGAATGCCCTGGCTCAGGCCAGGCTCCTCTATGGGGTATGTGTGTGGAGAAGACCATGAAGCTACTTTCTGTGTGGTTGGTATCCCGCCGTAAAGACTAGTCACAGAAAGAAGGGAGTGAGGTATTTACTTTGGGCTTGACAGGAATCTTAGGGAGATGCATTTCCACTCACCTTGTAGCAACAAGCTAACTTTTGCTTGGGGCTCACTGGACCTGTACTTTACCCAGACACAGTAACCCTTCAGGTATCATTCAAAGCCCTATTTTTCAGGTTATGCCACAGGATCACAGGGAGCTAATCAGTTTGTACTGCCTTCTCCAACAGGAAGTGGTAGAGAAAGGTTTGGAATGAGGCATACCCTACTCTGAAGCTTATTGTCTGTGCTCTTCATACCACCCTGCTCAATAGGGTCAAACCTGGAGCACAGGGCACCGTCAAAAGGCACAGGAAGTGAGGCCATGCAGATGGCTCAGACCTGCTGCCAGCTCAGGGTGGGCTACAGGAACCCAAGATACCACTTATTCGTGGTCCACAGTGTTGAGACAAAGTCCCAAGACCTAGATGGTGTAGAATGGAGTCTGAGTGGTTGTCACAGAGAGCTGTCTCAAGATGGGAAGAAAGACTGGCTGAATGTGTGTCAGGCACTGTTTATGAGTGATGCTGCTGTTCTCCCAGTTCTTGGTTCAAACCTAAGGCCTAAGGTCCTCCTGGGAGTGAGGGAATTCTTACTTGCCATCCATCCTACCTGGTCTAGGCACTGGTAGGGTTGGGGAAGTTTGGTTGGCTGCATGGGTAGGGAGTAGAAGAGACTTTGCCTGTATTGAGCACCTGCTACATCTAGGCATTAATGGACTGTTGACAAGGGTGGTTCTCAAAACACAGTCCTGGAGGAACAACAGGACTTCATCTAGGGGCCTAATGGACATGTGCTTCCTACACCTATTGAATCAGAAGCCCTGGGGATGGGCCCAGCAGTCAGTGTTTAAAAAGCACCTCAGGCGGTGCTTGAGTTTGAAACTGTGCATTAAAATTTGAGGACTACTGACATGGTTTGCTCCTTGTAACAACCGTGTGTGGCATATGTTGTTAACTTCACATTATAGATGGAGAAACAGGCTCATGTAGACTATTTATTTACTTGCTCAAGGTCATACAGCTAAGAACTTGCAAGTGGGCTTTAATATAGCTCAGTGGTAGAGCACCTTTTTAGCATACATGAGTCCCTGGGTTCTATTCCAGTATGGAGAGAAATAAAGTAAAACCAGAGAGATTGGCAGCTGCCAGATCTTTATATACTCTTCTATGCCTGTCCAATCCTTCCCTCACTGTATACTTCCTGAATTATCTGGAAGGTTAGGTAAGTTGCCTGAGACCCCACAGCTAACAAGTGGGGAAGAAAGCATAGATTGATCCATGATCCCTACAGCTTCAAAGGATGTGCTGTGCCCAGTTTGGGCAGGGGGAAGAGGCAGCCACATGCCATGTCCTAGGCCCACAGACTCAGTATAGTCTCTGCCAGCCACTAATTGCCACCCAGTTGGGTAGAAGAGGCAGCCTCCCCACCCTCTCCAGGTACAGATTATTCCTGGGGATGTGAAGTTGAGCAATTATGGGAAGAGCCTCCATGTAAAAGGTAAAATTGCTGAGAAATTTATGTTCTACCTGCAGTTTTATTGATCTGTAGAGGGAGATAAGAGTCAATATAGAATTCTTGGCAAACACTTATAGGTACTTTCCTTTTTATTTATTTCTCATGCAGCTAAGAACAGGTATTTTTAAGGCCAATTGCCCTAGTGTGGCCCACACTGAGGTCTACCATTAGCCAGTCCTGGTGCCAGGCCAGCCCTGGAGGGTCAAGGCAGCAGCATTTTCGCGTTAGGATGCCCTGCTTTCCCAGGCTTGCCTGCTGGATCTTTGGCGAGCAAATAGCAGTCACCAACTGGATTGGTGCAAAGTCTCCAAAGGTAGACTGCGTGATTCATCTAAATAAGGACATTTGAGAATGAAAGAGGTGCTGCTGTCAGATATGCTGGGACGCTAGGTGTAGGCCGGAACAGTAGGATTAAATGACTTAGTGTCTTGGGTTTGATCCTAACTCGTACCTCAGGGTAGCCTTGAACAAACTGACCTTGAAATAAATCTCTCCGAACCTCAGCATCTTTATCTGTGGAGTGAAATGCTTCTAGATTTATGAGAGTAGAGGTGAGTCTCACGTATGAAAAGCAAGCAGGATGCCCAGCACTGAAGTGGGCTTTATTCAATAATTGAAGTGTTTTAGTATCATTACTGTTACTACATGGCTCTAACTGAAAGACCATTGTAAAGGCACTGATTCTGATACGTGGCTGGAGGAGCTCCTCTAGGAATGTGGCCCACTAAGTTGCAATGAGGGTGTGAAGCTGAGATGACTCACTGCAGTGCAGACAGTCCAGTCCTCAGGAGTTCCCAGTGATGCCAGGCCCTGAGGAGCAAGGTGGAAGTGACAGCATGCTCAGTCTATCTCTGCAGCTTCAGACTGGTCAGTTTACCTTGTTGAGTCTGTTCTTCCTGTCAGATGGAGTGAGAACTGAATGATAGATCTGTTCATATCCCAGGTTAGCATTTGATAATGTCATTGCTGTCCCCCTTGTTCTATCTTAACTGTCCTTTAAAAGGAAGCAGTTGGGTGTTTGAACGATGGAATTGGAAGCTGCCTGATACGTCCTATTCCACCCCATTGTTTGTTTACTTGACTGCTTTTCCTCATAGGACACCGCCAAGGTCTTGGAGCAACCCATAGTTGTGCAGAGCGTGGGCTCTGATGGACGTGTCTTCCAGTTTCTAGTATTGCAGTTGAACACCACAGATCTGGCCTCTAGTGAGGGCATCAAGAATTTGGTATGGATGGACTCGGACCAGGTTCTTTACCAGCATTTCTGGTGTCTCCCAGTGATCAAAAAGAAGGTGGTGGTGGTAAGTCCAGCCATCTCCAGCCTAGTGATTACAAGGCCTTGACTCATCTTGTCCTATCCAGAGTGAGCCTTGGGGGTTGAGCATGGTCTGAGAGGAGGGCTCTGGTTCTAAGAATCCAATACACACACCTCCTTGCTTTTCCCTTCAGCTCCTGCTGTGGAGATGGTCCCTGTATTTACTTCCCTGCCCCCATCAGTGAATGGGGCCCCTGTCACAGCACAATCACACTGTTGCCCTGTGGTTATCTGGGTTCATGTTTTTCCTCCACCAAATTGAGCTAGAAGGTGTTCTAGTTAGCTTTCTATTGCTGTGATAAAACATTCTGACCAGAATAATTCAGGGAGAAGAGGGTTTATTTGGCTTACAGCTCACAGTACATTATCAAGAGTAGCCAAGATAGGAGCTCAGGGCAGGAACCTGGAGGCAGGAACTGAAGCACAGATCACAGAGGAACTCTGCTTATTGGCTTACTTCCCTAACCTGTGCTTGACCTTTCTTACACAACCCAGAACCACCTGCCCAGAGGTGGCACAACCCGTAGTGGGTGGGCTGGTCCTTCCCACATCACTCAGTAGTCAAGAAAATGCCTCACAGACATGGCCACAAGCCAATTCGATGGAGGTAGTACCTCACTGAGGTTCCCTCTTCCCACATATGGCAGGTACACAACTGAAGCCATCCAGCACAGCAGACCTATGGACACTACATTCACTGTTTCATTTCACCCATGTGGAGCTCCTCCCGTGGCCCTGCTGTACTTTGGGCTCAGATGAGAGTCCAGCCCACTGTCTGTGCAACGGGCAGCAACCGTGTGTAAACCAGTTGAGGCTAGGATGCCAGGCAGATGCCAGTCTGAGGAGACAAAGCTGGCTCAGGGATGAGAAGGCAGAGCAGAGGTGCTGCTGGATCTGACCAGCTGTACCCCAACAGGGCTCAGGTGCAGACTTGCTCAGTGGAGTTAAGTGGCCTTTGAACTTTATGAACATGTCATTTCTGTAATGACTTCTCCAGCCTGTCAGTGTGCTCTCTCCTTGAAATGCTGTCTGAGTCTGGGCCCTTTTCTTTGGCCCCAGATCCATTGTCTTAGTGCAGTCCCACCAGCCACCTCCTGTCTGTCTGTTGTTAGTGTTGTCTCCTTATGTTTCAAGTCCTGTTTTTCATAGAATATGAATTCAGCAGCAGGCAGGCTATTGGTTTGGTCAGGGCTTCCAGTTAACATTTCCAACTCCATTTCCTACCTCTTTACCCCACCACCATGGATCTGGGCTCGAGCTTTACCCTGGTCCTTCCTGTCCTCAGTTGTATACCTGTGCTAGTGTAAATACTGCTCTCTCAGCTTCTATCCTTTCCTTTTTCTTTCTGGTCCATTCTACTTACCCTTCATGAAAGCCAATGAGGCACGCGCGCGCGCGCACACACGCACACACACACACGAGCCTTTTTGTACTATTTCTGTATTGAGGTCTGTCACCTTTTCTAGTTACTATTTAAATACCTGGTTGGGGGCTGGAGAGATGCTCAACAGTTAAGATCACTTCTTGCTCTTCTGTAACTCCAGTTCCAGGGGATCCAACATCCTCTTCTGGCCTCCATGGGCACCAGGCATGCATGTGGAGCACTTTACACATATTCAGGCAAAACAGTCATGTACATTAAAATAAAAAATTTAAGCACCTGGAAGTTGCTCAAGGATAGGAACAGATTCACATCACTCCTGGACTGCTAGGAGCTCAGGCCCAGCACAGTGAGAGCAGGAATGATACATTAGTGTGGAATGGAAAGAGATTCTTGTCTTTGTGATTACAAGGGACCATCATTTGTTCCTGGTGGTTGGAGAGAGGGGATTTAGGGAGCAAGGCAGTGCCAACAGATGACTTGGCTGATGGGTGCCAGGAGCCCTCAGGATTCTTAGTGCCAACTCCTCAGTGTCCCTCTTGGTCCATGAGAGAGGTGATGTGGGAGAAAGAGATGGTGATTAGCCAGGCACTGAAGGTTTATAGAATAGTAACCTATTTCATTTGCTGTCATTAAACCTGGTAGCAGGATCCTAATGGGCTTTGTTCTTTCCAGGAACCTGTTGGGCCTGTTGACTTCCAGCCAGAGACGTTCAGGAAGTTTTTAGCTCTGCATTTACACGGTGCTGTGTGAGCTGAGGACCTTCTGGGGTCGAGTTCCCCTAACCTCCTGCCCTCTGAAGAGTCTACATCCTGGAAAGGCAGTGCCTGGGCCTGGGGAGCCTCCATATTCTTGGTCTGGTGGTCTTATTGGCAATGAAGAGGCTTTGTGCTGGGTGTGGTGGCACACTCCTTTAATCCCAGCATGTGGGAGGCAGAGGCAGGTGGATCTCTGGGAGATTGAGGCCAGCCTGGTCTATATAGCGAGTTCCAGGTCAGCTGAGGCTACAGGGAGACCCTGTCTCAAAAAGACCGAAAAAAAAAAAAAAAAGTCCATGTGTCTGTGTTGCTTTGGAGCCTGCATTGGTTTGAGGGTGTGGTTGGGGGGCTGTATGTTGCCTATGCCATGGTTTGAGGGTGTGGTTGAGGGGCTGTATGTTGCCTATGCCATGTGCTTCCTTCTCTCCTATGGGTCCTGGGCTAGCTTTGCCTTGGACCCATGTGGCATCTTAGATGAATGCTGAGTTTCAGTCTCTCATCTGAAACTTGAAGCTAATATCACCTTCCTTGGAATTTTTTATGCGTTATTGGGGGTATAGCATATGCCATGGCACACATATGGAGGTGAGAGAACAAGTTTGTGGAGTCAGGTCTCTCCTTCCATCTTTATATGGGTTCTTTGGATCAAACTCAGGTCTTGGCTTTATTTTTGTTTGTTTGCAGTACTGAAGAGTGAACCCAAGACAAAGCAGTGTGCTACCAAGCTACATCCATGCTCCCTTCCTTATTTCGTAAATTTTAGACTAAGAGCCTGTCTTGTTTGCCTCATGGCAGGTGCTCTAAATGTGCACTGACTTTTTACAGAGTTGTTTAAGTTGTACACACATCCCACAGTGACTGTAGAGGCTCTGAATAGAGTACTTGTTGTAGAGCTCTAGTTTTCCTGCTTGGTGGGTTTGGATGACTAGTTCCCTGGATCATCTGGCCTCCAAACAGTGTCAAGTCTTATTTACACAGTGTCACCATTCCCGGTGCCTTGCGCACAACACCTTGACTTATCTTCACATAGCCCTCCAGGGTGGCTGCACAGTAAATGCCACTTCAGTAGGGAAGAGAAATACCGAGTGACTAGTATATGAAAGGCACGGTTCTAAAACCTAAAATGAGAAAACAGAAGGAGAAGACCCAAGTTCCCACAGCTGGTGTTTTGGGTCTGACTAGTATATGAAAGGCACGGTTCTAAAACCTAAAATGAGAAAACAGAAGAAGACCCAAGTTCCCACAGCTGGTGTTTTGGGTTAACTTCCCTAGGACACACCTAGAGACACCTGTGTGTGGATGTTTGGGAAGAAACTAGGCCCAGCGCCTGTGGAGAGCATGGGTGGGAGCAATGGAGAGAAAGGATGGAGCTCAGCTGTTGCGTCTGTGATCACACCTGAGGCCTCAGCAAGCTGGAGCCAGTTCAGTCCTCAGCCTGTCTATAGAAACCTTTGGTTTGTCACAGATCGCTGGGTGACTACCACCTCCCGTCTACCCCAAACCCCCTATAAGATAAGGCCTTGGGTGAGGTGACTCTGTTGGCTGTGAACACTGGGGCCTCAAGCTCCCCACAGGAAGAGCATGAAGAGATCCTGGGGGCAGTGCAGCTCCCAGTCCATCCCACTCCAGCTGTGCGTTTTCCTCTTCATAACTTCCTTTCAGGCTTAGCAGGGTCTGTGGGATTGGGGATGTAGGCAGAAGGGATCACCTGGACAAGCATGTGGAAAATAAAGGAACCTGCTGTGTCAGGTGCCTGGGAATGGGAGGGTGTTTTGGAGGCTGGAGTGGCTTATGACATTGAGCACCAAGTGCCCGGGGCTGCCTATGGGAGGGAGTCTGGCCAAGTGGGGATTGTCTGGTGAGCCTTGTGGCCAGTATTACTCTTTGCTTTCAAGATGAAAATACCTAAGTTGAGGGGGCTGGAGAGATGGCTCAGCAGTTAACAACACTGGGTGTTAACTTGGTCCTCTTGCAGAGGACCCAGGTTCAGTTCTTAGTGTAGTGGCTCATCTGTAGCTCCAGTTCCAGGGGAATCCAGTGCCCTCTTCTGACCTCCAGAGTACACACATAATAATAAAATACTTTTTTTTTTTTTTTTTTGGTCTTTGACACAGGGTCTTCTTGTAGCCACAGCTGGCCTGGAATTCACTATGTAGACCAGGCTGACCTCAAACGTTCAGCGATCTGCCTGCCTCTGCCTCCTGAATACTGGGAATTAAAGGCATGTACTACCACGCCCAGCTAATAATTTTTTTTTAATTTTAATTTTTTAAATATTTTTATTTTATGTATATGAGTGTATTGCCTGCATGTATGTGCGTGCTCCTGTGTCGTGCAATGTGTTGTGCAATGCTGCAGGGTCGGAAGAGGGCTTCGAATTCCCCTGGAACTGGAGTTAAGGATGGTTCTGCCATGTGGGTGCTAGGAATCAAACCTGGGTCCTCTGCAAGAGCAGTCAGTGCTCTCAACCACTGAGCCATCTCTCCAGCCCCATAAAATATTAAAAAAAAAAAAAGTTGAAGATTCAGGGAATAGAGAAAAGTACAAAAAAGTTATTCACACCCAAGGCAACCCCAATCCTTTTCTCAAGGGGCAATCCAGCTGGGAGTCTTGGGGTTCCACCAGCATGGATGCTCTGCCCATTCCTTCCAGCAGCTGCACCAGCAGCTCTAGATAGCCATCCAGGTTGCTTCTGGGTATTAGTTATTACAAAATGCTGCAGCAAACATCCTTGTTCATGTATCTGAGGCTGCTTTTGCCAGTGTAGCCATTGGGTAAATTGCTGGCAGTGGAACTGCTGAGTCAAAGGGATTGTTTTTTCAACTGGTAGAAGCACAGAGGATGCGTTGGCAGGATGACAGTGAGGAGTCCAGCTGGAGGCTACTGCGGTAATCCTCGGGATTGGCGGTGATGGCTGGAAGCCTAGGGAGGCCTGAGTCCCTTGGGGACTGGCTTAGCTGCTGAAGAGGGTGACGGAAACTCAGCCCGAGTGAGGAGTTGGAGGCTGAGTAAGCACAGTCAGCCCCATGACCTTGCAGCTTGAGGCCTGGGGATGACTCTGGACATGCCAGTTACTACATGGCTGGCAGCCTGTGTTCCTCCTAGTCCCAGCAGGAGGACTACTTGTCCGTTAGCCATGGTGCTCTGTGCGTGGAGCCCACAGCACACAGTTCAGCACAAGAGCGGCTGCTGTGTAGTGGAGTAGCAGTGATGGGTATCATCTCCCTACAAAGGTGGGAAACTGAGGCTCTGGGACTCATACAATGTACTATGAAGAGCTAGGAAATTCATAGGTGGTGACAACTGCCACCTTCACAGAGGGAAACTTTTCCCCAACTCCTCTGTGCTTAGTCACTTTGTGTCTTCTCACTTTGCATTCCTTATGGAATGACATTAAGTCCATGTGGCTCAGAGCCTGACAGGTACCCAGCCACCCAGCCTGAGTCTGGGTTAAGGAAGAAATGCTGAGTGGGGAAGGAGAAGGGGAGGGAAGCAGGGTCACACTAGGCATGAAACACCCACTCTAGGGACCTCTAAGCAGCAAACTTGGAGCCAAAATGACATTCCCATAGTGAACCTGAATGTGAGCATATTTGTCATGGTGTCATAGATTTAAGTGCCTGATCCATTAAAAAGCTCACTTGTGCTAAGAGTGATGATACACACCTGTAATCTCAGCACTCAGGAGGTGAAAGCAGGAGGGTCATAAATTCAAAGTCATCTTTGACTACACTGGGAGTTCCAGGCCAGCCGGGGCTACATGAGACCCTTCCTCAAAAATATTTTAAAAACTGAAGGGAAAGCTGGGTGTGGTGGCGCACGCCTTTCATCCCAGCACCCGGGAGGCAGAGGCTGGCAGATCTCTGTGAGTTCAAGGCCAGCCTGGTCTACATAGTGAGTTCCAGGTCAGCTGGGGCTATAGGAGAGCCCCCCCCCCAAAAAAAATGAAGAGAGGGAGGAAGGAGGCTGGCTCAGTTCATCCCTGTAGACCCCAGTCTGGAGGGAAGTCTAGTTTGGGAGACCTTTCCCCACAGACCTGTGTATCTAGCTGCCCTCAGGGCATCAGCCTCTGCAGAGTGAAGAGGACCAAGCCCCCTTTCAGAATCTGTCACTTTTGGATCAGGTGGGCTGCACCTGACCAGAAGGCTTCCTTCAGATGGGTTTCATGCTTACGTGAGTGCTGAAGGCTACTCTGGTAACAGGGACCGTCTCCCCACATTTGGTAACCTCTAGTGACATGTATTTATGTTCAGTCAGTGCTGTAGTGGATGCTCCTTCCCTTGTATGACACGTTGCCAGCTACTTGATCCACTCTCCTAGGAGTTCATTGTGTGCCCAGTTGTACCAGGCTTGATGCAAGGCCATGGATATTGAGTGAACAAAGCAGGTCCTGCAGCCACAGTATGTGCATTCCTATGTGGGGGGAGGCAAGAAGTGAAGACCCACATGCCAGAGTGACAGAAGCAAGGGGTCTTAGATGGGGTTCCTTCAAAACAGGCTCTGAGATGAGGAATTGGGGCTGCATGTTCATTGGAATGTTGTCTGTGAGAAGGGCACTGTCAGAGGGGAAACCTGGTGCCTCGGTTGGCCCTATGGAGAGCTCTGGAACCATGATGGCCCTCCAAAAGTGTCCCACATTGCGGCAAGGTAGTGTGGAGCATGGCCCACATCACTCACTGGCTACTGCCCGAGGAGGAGGTGAAACCTTACCTTACGGTAGGCATCCCCCAGGAGGGACACACTTGTGAGCGATCAGCAGGTAGGGTAGTGGTAGCCCTGCCCTCCCAGAGCCAGGGAGGCTACCATGGGTGACTGGCTCTGTGAGACAATGACACTCGGGCAGAGGCCTGGAGAGTGTGGCAGGCCAGGAAGACACTTGGGGACAGTGTGGTGGCTCTGAACTGGGTATGGACTGAACACCTCGTGTGCAGAACCACTGGCCCTCATCATAGCATTTGCAGAACTACATCTGGGTATTTTTGCCAAAAGAGGACATCACAGGGCAGTCAAGCCTATGGAGACCACTTTTAGAGGTGGCAATTCAGCTCAAAGCAGGAAGGGGCCTTTCTGAGGTCAGAGTGAGGTGGTCCTAACTCCAGCCCCACCCCTGGGATGGGACTGTGTATCTTTGCCACCCACCAGGGTCCCAGGAATCAACCCCCCTTAAACATACACCACCCTTCCCCAGCTGACTTTTGAACTTCCACACAGGGAACACCCGCCACACACCCTTTTCTTTCTCAGGTATACTGGTGGCTGTGTTCTCAGGAGGTAATGCCATCCTGTAGCTTTGGCTCCAGGGCCCCAGTTCTGCTTTCTGGACTGTACACATCTCCTCCCAGCAGGGGGCTTCCTAAAGAGATAAGAGGTGGGAGATGATGGACCACGGATAGCCTGGTTTCTCTTTCCAACCTGCTTCTCAGTTCACAGATCTCAACTGGGTTCTGAGTACAGTAGATAGAGCAAGGCTAGCACCTTCTGTCTGGGACACTCTGCCACTAGAGATCATGTCTCATGCCAGCTACCTCAGACCACATTCTTCAGACCCATCCAATGAGTGGGCTTGCTGCTGAGGGCAGGACCTCCATCTCAGACCAGTTTGTGCCAAGCAACATGCCCCTTCAGTACACATATATATCCCCAGCTAGACCAGTGAGAAGATGCAAGAATGTTAGGATTGGGGACTGGGTCCTGAGGTTCCCCACTATAGATCTCCCCTGGTATAGTCCAAGCATTCACCCTATCTTGAGCTAGTCTCCCTTGGATCTGCCTCAGCAGGTATCCACAAGGGCAACTTTTTACCCATACTGAAGGCCCTGCCCACATGGGACAGCATGGGGGACAGGTGCTCTATGCATATTCAAGGGGTTGCTGACTACACAGCAACTTCCAGTTACTCCATGAATGCCAAGAACCTGCCGGGAGTTAAGTATGATTCTGCACAATATGAATCTGGGGACAGAGACAACTCAGGCATGGTCTGTAGCTTTGAGAAGGCAGGCATTGAATCATCAGCACAGGGCCCTGGGGACTCAGTTACCACAGCTGAGTAGCTTCCTCATGGATGGTGAGGGCTTTTGGACTGGGTTCTAGGGGACAGATAGGAGGGCGCAGTGAGAACCAAGGTCTAGGTGGCAAACAGAATCATACATGGTTGGAATACCAAGTGCTGGCGGGTGAGATGAGGCAGGAGAGGCTATGGGGACAGCTTACAGTCTGCCGGATGCCATAAACATGGATTTGGTCTAAGTCATGGATCCCCATAGCTCCACCCTCACCTCCTTTGCTTATTCTTCTGGTTTCTGATCACTGGGAGCCTCATCTCCATTTATTCTCCAGATGACCTGCCTCTGGCCAACCTAAATGTCAGTTACTTCCCCAAGGTGCCTTGCAACACAGGTGTTTGCTGCCTATACAGCTGACTCGATTTAACCCACCTAAGCAGGTCTCCCTGCCACCTGCCTGGCCCCATCCTTCCAGGCCTGCTTTGTTCAGTAGGCAGGCGTCACCACACAGTGATGAGTGAATCCAGTAAGTGAAGAGGCTCAGAAGGGTAACAGGAGGTGACTGAATGTCTAGACTCCAGCTGCTGGGGACGGGGATCCACAGCTCGGGAATGGACAGGAGGAAGCCCAAGCTGTCTTTAGTATCCTCCCTTCTTCCTTGCCTAGCTTACAGCTAAGCCCTGGAGAGCCACACAGATCTGGAAATCAGATGGCTCAGCTCCAACTGAATCAGGACCAGAGTGGTCAGGGAGACTGTGGGGCTATCTAGGGCCCAGCCTCCTGGGATTAGCCAAGACTTGGAGCAGCCTCCCTGCCCCATTCATTGACAGAAGGTCTGGGCCAGGTCTTCAGGTGATAGCCAGCCCACAGAGTCTGCTATTCCACTTCTGGCTCTCTGGATCTAAGTTTCACGGAAGAATGGCCAGAGGGGAGGGGACACTGTCTCCAGCCATGTCAGCTACCTCAGAGAGTCAGGTGCATGTGAACAGTGAGGACCAGCAAAGCAGAGGTGGCTGCGGGGCTTCAGCTGGGGGAGCCTTTGGCTCGGCTCCTACACCCCTGCCTGAGCTGAAGTCCTCTCTCTACCATCAGGAGCTCATGGTGCTGCTCAGGACAGTGCTCTGGCCTGGCTTTCACACCTTGGTCTGACCTGAGTAACAACACTCTAGTGAATAAGGATCAGTGCTTTCCTCAAAGACTAGGCCTTGAGTGGCCATCTGCGCTGGGACGGCAACTGTGGGGGTTGCTCAGGGGCTTGTAGACTGCTGAAAAGCATGCTGTGTGTGGGACTGGAGAGATGGCTCAGTGGTTAAGAGCACCCGCTGCTTTTGCAGAAGTTCTAAATGCTACATGGTAGCTAACCACCAATTCCATGCCCTCTTCTGACCTCCATGGGCACTGCATAACACAAGTATACTTACACACATACAGACAATACATGCATACACATAAAATAAAAATATAGGGGCTGTAGAGATGGCTCAGTAGTTAAGAGCACTGGCTGATCTCAAGGACCTGGTTTGGTTCCCAGCACCCACATGGCAGCTAACAACTATCTGTAACTCCAGTTTTAGGGGATCTGGCTTCTGTGGGCACTGCAGACATATGATGCAGAGACATATATGCAGGTATTTATACAAATAAAACTTAAAAAAATTTTTATGTGTATGCATAAAATACCTGCATACAGGTAAGTGCACCTGTGTCATACAATGCCCCAGGAGGTCAGAAGAGGCTGTTGGATCCCCTGGGACTGGAGTTACGGACAGTTGTTAGCTGCCATGTGGGTGCTGGGATTCGAACCTGGGTCTTCTGCAAGAACAACCAGTGTTCTTAACCGCTGAGCTTTTTCTCCAGCCCCATAAAATATATATTTTTGGTCTTTTTTTGAGACAGGGCCTCCCAGTAGTCCCAGTTGGCCTGGAACTATGTAGACCAGGCTGGCCTTGAACTCACAGAGATCCACCAGCCTCTGTCTCCTGAGTGCTGGGATTAAAAGCGTGAGCCACCATGCCCAGCTATTTTTCAAAAAAGAATGCTGTGTGGTCACCTCCTACCCCTATACCAGGCAGAGGTAGAAGCCAAGATACCTGGGTCCTCTTCCATACTGTAACCCCTGCACAGCTCCTATCTGGGAACACAAATTGGGCAAGGGTGTGAGTGCACACTCCGCCTTCCAAGTACAGCATGTGCCTGGCTGGTATGCAAAGTGTCTCTTTAGAGCTGCCCCAGCCTTCATCACCCATGGGTCCTAGAGGGTGCATCCCCAATAGTTAGAAACGGTGCTGAGAAAAGCCTAGGACAATTCTAGAACCTTCTAGTTACTCTCCAGCCACCATTTGTGCCCTTCCGAGTATGAGTTAAGAACCACTAATGAATACACACTACTCACATTCCATGTGAGACACTGTTAGTCTATGCTCTCCACCCCATTTCCTAGACTGAGAGCATCACAAACTAACCTGCCGATGGCCACATAGCAAGTAGTAACAAAGGCAAGACTCCAGCCAGGTGAACTGCAATCTGATCCCAAAATCTTTATAAAGGCAGACTGAGTGCTCTTTGCTCAAGCACTGGTCATCCCCCACCCCTACATACAGGCTGGGAGAGGTACCCAGTGTTTCAGCTTTATTTTGTAAACATTGACAATCACTGTCCCTCTCACCCTAGCCCCTAGCATTTCTTGCCTACCCAACAGCTGGAATGGCTTTCCCTACATCCTATCGAGCCCCTCTGTAAGCTAAAATTCAGGTCTGCCCGGGCCATTTTAAAGTCCTTTGAGGGCTTCCCCTTGCCTTGGAGGTAAAACAAAAAATGAACCTTTTAGTGGCCTAGCACCTAAAGAACTTGTCATCCCTGCAGCCCCAGACACTAGGCACTTTGGGACCCCAGAGGCAGGGTGTGGCTGCAGTGACAGGGCCACCTTGACCACCTCACTTGCAGCAGTGTCCTCAGGGGCCAGGCATAGAACTACCAGTGTCACCTACCACCTTGTGTCACCTTCTATTCACAATCAGTATCATCAGCCCTAACCCACATTTCCCCCAAATATGTCAGGAAGGGCTGCGGAAAAAAGATGTCCCTTTAATAAAACGTTATCAACATATATCGTACACAAACTACAATGTATCATAATTACTTTTTTTTTCCCTCTCATAATTCAGAACCAGACTACAAGGTAAGAAAAAACACAGAAACAGCTACAATGTTCCCAAGAATCCGCACAAGGTCTTTTTTCAGGCAGATGGTATCTCACATAATATGATATACATGGGTCAGAAAGGGGAGGTAAGAAAACAAAGACCAGCTACAGGGGTGGGTGGGGCGGCGAGGAAGGGTGGAAATGTACAAAGAATTCGGTGTCTTCCAGGGCAAGACACAAAGGTTGCCATGGGGGCGAGGCCAGGGCGGCTACCAGTCACCCCTCCTAGGAGGGGCCAGGCTCCACCATCGGGTTTGTAGTTTTTGAAAATAAAAACAGGACCGAAAACAGCGTCTGTTTGGTTGCTGGTGCTCCCCCACCCCCACAGCGATGCTGAAGTCTGTCCATCCAGTTCCAGGCAAACACAGCAATTCTGAACAACAGCCCGTCTTTGAAAAAGGACGAACAAAGAGGAAAAAAGAAAATCACAACTTCAGCCCACCCTACCCATGCGCACGATGGGAGTGAGGACTGTGGGGAACAGAATATGGAGGTCAGTTCCATGTCTCAGGGCGCAGCCATCCTGTTGGGTCCTCTGCTACGGGGCTTGGGCTACCACCCAGCGGGCAGGATTCTTGCTGGGAGGCAGTGGGTCCTGGCAGAGGAGGGGCTGGAGGCCCAGTGGCTAGGCAGGAGAGGTCCTGAGAGAGGCAGCAGTCCTGGAACAGTGCGTGCACCGGGTCACAGCGATGGTCTCCACTGGGCTGCGGCTGCTCAGGTGCTCTGGGCCCTCTGGCCACAAGGATGGGGCAGGGGTTCAGAGTAGAGCAGGTGCCTGCCCCTCCTTGCCCAGTGAACAACCCCAAAGGCCCATGTGGAAAAGGCTGACTTTGTCCCTTTCTTTCTCAAACAGCTTTTGAGAGAAACCACCAATTGTAAACTGTCCAGTTTATTATTTTTAGATGGCTACATCAGTGTGACATCACACACCTAGACTAGCTTTCCTGGTGGCCGGGCTTGAGGACAGACAGCAGGCCTTGCAGGTTCTTCCCTTTTTGGGGGGGCCTTTTTTCTTTTTCCTTTTTTTTTTTTTAATCCTTTTTCCTTTTTTTTTTTAATTTATTTTTTTAAAGAAAGCAAAGAGGTTGACTGGGGTGGGGCAAGGGCTTGCTAGAAGCTTCCATTAAAAAAAAAAAATTCCCCCCAAAGAAACCCCCCTGAAAACAAATTTAAAAATCCCAGCAACGGTAAAACCCAAACGAAAAAACAAAACAACCAAAAAGTGTCACGTACAGAAAGGTCCTTTAGGGCAGGGGTGCGGGTGGGATTTTTCTGGTCATTGCCTCGAAATACATTTTTTAGTTTTGTCCTTCATGTTTTATGGGATAAAAAGTTTGGCCTTTTTATTGCATGAAACTAAAATCGGGAAAGGAGGGGGAGTGGATGGGAGGGGTGGAGGGGAGCAGGAGACACCCTCCCCCAGCTCCTGGTATTGACACCTCACTTCTTCTTGCATAATTTCTGGTATCTTCGGCCTGCAATGCAGTCTCAGCGTCTTGGAGAGGGGTCACACACTCATCGTCATGCTTGGAGAATACTGCAAGGGAGAAGCAGGGTGGGGGATGGTTGTGAGGTGCCAAGGGGAGACCACGGACTTGCCAAGGTGCCCACAGCCTGCTGAAAGCTTGGTGCACAGCACTGGACAGGGCTAAGTTGGGGGTACACAATGGGAAGGGCTAGGGTAAAAATGAGGCAGAAGTTAGGTGCCACCTTAGAGACCAGTCTCTGTCTTTTGCCTGGAATACTGGGCAGCCCATATGGCTTCCAGTTCTTTCCCCTTGGAGTCAGCCCTTCTGGGAAACCGAGACAGCAGGGAGCTGGTTAGTGAGCCAGAGTTGCCACAGGGTGCCTTGGGCTGGGGAGGATAGTCTAGAGTTTTCAAAAGCTGCTTTCTTCAACGAGTGTGGACATAGAGGCCCACTGCAGAAAGCAGACGGCTGCCCCTGTACACTGAGGCTCCAGGAAATCCCTGGCTGCATGAAGCAAATTCATGAGGCAGTGCTGGCCCGACTCAACCCAGGGCTTTCCCAGCCATTTCAGCACAGGCATCGAGCCTTCATGTATCCCCACCAGAAGGACGGACCACAGGAAAGGGGTAGTAGTTGGGGCTCTGCACTTGGGTAGAAGATAACAGAGGTGAAAAGCAATGCATAGGGAGGCCACAGCCACAGGGCCCACAGCTTGCTGCAGTTCCCAGGCCTAAGGGAACTGTGGGGATCCAGGGACTGGAAGAGTGCAGGGGCTTACATTGTCATTCTGGAAGGAGTGAAGGAAGTTCCCTCCTAGCTCGCCATCATCTCGAGGGGTGCCTGGAGGATTGCTAATGCCACTTATGTTGTTAGGAGAATTCTGTAGAAAGAGAAGGAGAGGTGCATCCAGGTTCCCAACAAATTGACCTCATGGATGAGGAGGTATGGAGGGAGGGGACCACAGTACACTTACTTTTGGAAGTCCATCTATGTCACCTGATCCTGGAAGGAAAGGAGAATCCAATTTAGGGAGTGTTGTTTTTTTTGGGGAGCAGGTGGTTATTTTGGGGGTATATGCATGATGTGTGGGGGTCAGAGGGTAATATGTGAGGCATTTTCCTTAATTGCTCTTTTTTTTTTTGAGACAGGGTTTCAATATGTAGCTCCGGTTGGCCTTGAATTCACTATGTAGACCAGGCTAACTTGGATTTCACGGAAGTCCATCCACCTGTGCCTCCAGAATGCTGGCATCAAAGGCATGTGCCATCATGCCCAGCTCCATTTTACTGAGATAGGGGTTTTCATTGAACCTGGAGCTCCCTGATTCATCTAGACTGCTTGGCAGTAAGCCCCAGAGATCCTCCTGTCTCTTATCTCCCCAGTGCTGGGATTCTACGTGTGTCTCTGCCTGGCTTTTATGTGGGTGCTGGGTATTCAAACATAGGTCTTCCTGCTTGCAAAGCAAGCACTGCACTTTGACTAACTGAGCTAACCCATGAGTCGTGTGTGTGCGCGCGCACGCCTGCAGTTTCCCTCAGGAACTGCAGTTTCAGGAGGTTGTGAGCAGACCAACATGTGAGTGCTGGGAGCCAAACTTGGGCCCTCTATAAGAGGGCGGTAAGCACTCTTATCGGCTTTGACATCTCTAGCACCCCCACCCCCACCCCCCCAACAGAATCTTCCTATGCAACGTGGCTTAGCATCCCAAGTGCTAAGAGTAAAGGCTTGTGCTACTATGCCCAGCTGCTGTTTCTTTCTGTACTGAGGATTGAACCCAAGGCCTCACGTATACCAGTCAAGGGTTCTAACACTGAACAACATCTCTCATTCTTCTATACTTCATTTTGAAACAAGGGCTCACTAAGTAGCCCAGGCTAGCCTTGAACTTGTTTGTAACCCTCCTGTCTCAGCTTTTGGAGTGCTGGTATTACAGTAGGTACATACCACCATGCCTGGTCTAATTCAATTTCTTGCTCACTTTTCCCTGGGAGGGGGTGGGGGTGGGTCTCTCCAACCTCTGAGGATCCCTTTCTCCCTGCTCCTTGGGCCCAAGATCTCTTCTACCCAATTTCATATTATTTCAGTGCAGTGAATTCCCTGTGGGAAGCAGCTTTCTCTCAGGCTGTTCCTATGTGCCTAGTCGAGGCCAAGGCAGTCCCAGGCCCAGGTGACTCAAGAAGTGAGGCAGAGCAGCCTGCTAGGGCAAGTGAAGCTGAGCACATGCCATCTTACCTAATGATCCGTTCATGTGGTGTGGCTCCATGCCGCCCATGCCTCCCATTGGGCCGTCCGAGCCAGGACCCATAGGGAACTGTGGGAGAAGCAGAGTGGTCAGGGGATACAGGGCCCCAACTGCCTAGAAATGTCACTCAGGGCACTCCAGACTGGTGGGTTACTTTGTGCCTGCTCAGGCACTGGGTATCCAGAACAGGTTCCTTCCCTTGGCCCTTGGGGGCTACAGGGTAGAGGGTTATGTACCAGACAAGCAAACAAACTCAGAAAGGGAAAGGAACCTGTTCAAGGCCAAGAGCTCCATACACAGCCAGCATTCCAGTTTCTTGGGTTCCTTCACAGGGTTTAATCTACCCCTGGGCAGGTGCCTGGTTCACCAGCCAGTGCACACACAGTGTCCAACTATCCAGACTACAGATCAAAATGATTCAAGCTTGGCCACCTGCATTTTACAAGTGAGGAAATTAAAGCTGAGCATAAGAGGTGCTTTGCACAGTCTCCCAGGGCAGAGGCAGAGCTGTGAATGGAGCAGGACAGCCTGTTATAGGGCTGTCCCTGGTGGTATCCTCCAAACTCCTCCTATGACATCAGGAAATTCCAGGGTAGGAAAAAGGCGCAGTGGAAGGGGTCACTCCTGAGACACCCACACTGAAGTCATGATAGACAGAGCTGGCTCGGAGAAGAAATCCACTCCACCCCATCCTCAGACTGTTTGCCACTGTCAAGACCACCTCAGAAAGGAAGCAATAGATGGCTGTATCTCACAGCCTTGAGTCATATGGCTGGGAGGGATGGAGAGGATAGCTGGGCACAGGACTGAGGGGCGGAGTTTCAAAGATAGTTTAAGGCACAGCTGCAGCTCACGATGGAAGTGGGGAAAACTGTATGGAGGCAGAGCATCAGCACAAATGATAGAATCTGGGCTTGCAGAGCAGGACCCAGAAGCCATTCCAGAAATGCTGTGTGAGCAAGAGGCCATATAGGTGGTGGGAACCAGGGTGGAGAACAGTGTTCAGGGCCAAGGCCCATACCACCAGCAGGGTAAGGCTGGGTATTAGGTGCTTCCCCATAGGAGTACAGCACCTCTGTCATCTATCCAGGCACATTTTGCTATGTGGCAGCACATTTCATGCTAATTAGTCCACCTTATTAGGATCCCAGGACACAGACCAAAGTACCCAACACAACATAATATATGCATATACAAATGTTACTACTTCAACAAATATGTCACTATTCTAACATAAATGTGACCAACATAGAAAAATCAGTTTTTTGTTTTGTTTTTGAGACAGGGTCTTCTATGTAGCCCTGGCTAGCTGGAACTTGCTATGTGGAACATTGCTTTCCCAAGTGCTGGTTAAAAACACGTACCAGCCAGGTGTGGTGGCGCATGCCTTTAATCACAGCACCTGGGAGGCAGAGGCTAGCGGATCTCTGTGAGTTCAAGGCCATCTCTGTGAGTTCAAGGCCAGACTGGTCTACATAGTGAGTTCTAGGCCAGCTGGGGCTATAGGGAGACCCTGGCTCAAAAAGACAATAAAACAAAATAAAATAAGAACATGTACCACCAACCCCAAATCAGTTACTTTTGAAATTAAATGTTATGTATTTTGTGTATTATTTAAATAGCTTGAAACAGAATTCACATATCATACAACTGACCCATTCAAAAGATACAATTCAGTGTGGATTTCAATGTATTTATATATCATCATGCCCAGCCCCAAATCAGTTTTTTTTTTTTTTTTTTGTCTTTTTGAGACAGGGTCTCCCTGTAGCCTCAGCTGGCCTGGAACTCACTATGTAGACCAGGCTGGCCTTGAACTCCGCTTGCCTCTGCCTCCTGAGGCATGACCCACCACGCCTGGCTGATTAAAGTTCTTTTTCAGTTTTAACTTTCTTTTCTTCTTTTCTCCCCTTGAGATGACCCCATCACTATGTTGCCCTGGTTGGTCTTGAACTCCCGGGTTCAAGCCATCTTCTTGCCTCAGACTCCAGAGCAATTAGGTCTATAGGCATGCACCCTGTTTAACTTGAAAAGATTATTTTATTATTATTATTATTATTATTATTATTATTATTTTTGATTACATGCATATAGAGGTGGAGGTCAGAGGATAACTTGCAGGAGTTGGTTCTCTCTTTCCATCATATACGTACCAAGGATCAAACTCAGGTTATCAGACTTGCCTTTACCATCTCGCTGACCCTAGAAATCCTTTTTTAATAATCAGTCAGAAAGCTTTTGGTGAAAGGATTGCCAGACTTACATTTTATAAGTCTCCCTGTAGTCCCAGCTGTCCTGGAACTCACTATGTAGACCAGGCTGGCCTTGAACTCACAAAGACCTGAAGTGCTGGGACTAAGGGTGTGCGCCACCATGCCTGGCCAATTATTTTATTATTTTTAGTATTTTATTCATGCTTTTATTCTATGTGTACTAGTGCATTGCCTGCATGTATGTAAGTTAGAAGAGGGTTAGAAGAGGGTGTGGGACTAAAGTCATAAACAGTTGTTAGCACCATGTGAGTGCTGAGAATCAAACCTGGGTCCTCTGCAAGAGCAGCCAGTGCATTTAAATGCTGTGCCATCTCTCTAGTCCATATTTTATTATTCCTAATTATGTGTATGTGTGTGTCTGTGTGTGGGCAAGTATACTTGAGTGCTGGTGCCCATGAAGGCCAGCAGTGTTGGATCCCTAGAGCTGGATTTATAGGTGGTTGTGAGCTGCCTGATGTGCATGATAGGAATCACACTCCAGTCCTCTGCAAGAGCAGTATGTGCTCTTAACCGCGGAGCTATCTCTCCAGCCCTGTTTAACTTTTTTTTTTTAAATTTTATTTATTATTTTTATTTTACGTGTATGCATGTATTGCCTGCATGTAGGTAAGTGCACCCATGTCCTGCAATACCCACAGAGGTCAGAAGAGGCTGTGAGATCCCCTGGGACTGGCGTTACAGTTGTTAGCTGCCATGTGGGTGCGGGGGTTCAAACCCGGGTCTTCTGCAAGAACAACCAGTGTTCTTAACCGCTGAGCCATCTCTTCAGCCCCGTTTAACTTTCTTAACGGTGCCCTTTTAAATTTGCCTTTTTCTTTTGCTGTTTGTGCTTCTTTTGGTGCTGTACCTGTGGAGCTTCAATGAGCCAGGTCATAAAGCTTTTCCTCCCACGTTGTTTCTAAATGTTTTGTAGTTTTTCCCCAAAATGTAGGTCTCAGATCTACTGTGAGCTAATTAGCGTGCATGTATGTGGGTGGGTGTGATCGCACCTGCACATGGAGGCAAGAGGTCGATACTGAGTGCCTCCTCAGTTCCTCACCTTATTTTTTGAGACAGGTTCTTTCATTAAGTTTGGAGCTCACCTTTCCAGCTAAACTGGCTGACCAGTGAGCTCTGGGGTCCTCTGAGTTTCTACTTTCCCAGTGCTGAGATTACATATACATGCACTGTGTTCAGCTTTTCTTTTTTTAACGTGAGTTCTGGGAGACTGAGCTTGGTTCTCATGCTTTCATAGCAAATTTCTGTGTGCTGCTGTGAGGAACGAGGTCACCTCATTTGCTTGCTTGTGGATGTCCACTTGTCCCAGCTCTACTTCTTGTCTATACTGGTTACTTTTCTAATATGGAAATGCCATCACTTGCTGGGTATGATGGCACAGGCCTTTAGTCCCAGCACTTGGGAGGCAGAGGCAGTGGATCTCTATGAGTTGGAGGCCGGCCTGGTCTACATAGAGAGTTCCAAGCCAGCCAGGGATACAGGGAGCCCTGTCTCAAAAACAAAACAAACAAAACTAAACAAAACAAAATGCCATTAGTAAACAAAACAATAGGACCAGTTAACACCAGCAATTAGTTGGCAGTCTGGTTACAGAAATGAGGCCTGTGAGGAAACTGTAACCTTCAGTGCTTCTGTCCTGACACGGAGTTTAATCTTTCTTCTGTCCCAGGCTTCAGCAGAGGTTTTTTTCCTACTTCCCCAACTTCTGAATTGCCTGTAACCACTGGGACATCTTTCTTCATAACACTGAGGTAAAACGAACACAGTAGTCAAGGTAGCATTCTTCTGACTCTCTGTCCTAAGTCCACTTTACATTGCATCGGCTCAGCATAGCACTGGGCAGTCTTCTCTGCAACACAGTCCATGTAGGGAACTTACAGCTTTACTTACTAGCCTGGGATATGGACTTTTAAGAATGACTTGCAGCACCTCAGCATGTGCATTAACTCATGTCTAAAGGCTGGCTTTGACCAGCTCTCTGTCAGTCAAGGGCCTTTGCATTGTCAAGGTCATTAGACCAGTCATTCCTGACTATGATATCCAGCATTCCCAAACCTAGCTAGCACACACACACAGGACAGAAGTCACGCTCAATTAAACCACCGTTTCTAAGGAAAAATGGTGGTTGAGCACAGAGGAAATTGAACTTGTGATCCAAGTTGGATTCCATGTAAGTTAGTTTTAATAAAGAAATTGAGAGTCCTGTTTAACTTGGCTGCCCTTTATCATGACATTTTCTGATTTCTTTCAAGCAATCTCATTTCTTAAAAACCCGAGTCATTATTTCTGTGGTATGAGGCTTAGCTGTAGCCTCCACACAACACTGAGCATCCAGAAGAGGCTGGCTTAGACCCCCTAGGCTTCTCAGGGCCTTGTGAAAGATGCTTGCACACCTACTTCTCTTTTTATTGTAATCCCTAGCCCAGTTTTCTTCCAACAGATTTCCAAACCAGACGTGGACCACCTTTTTGTCTCAGGCATTTTGTTTTTCTTTCGGATGACTGATCATGTGGCTTTTTTCCCCCTTTCTGTCTTTTTGAGACAGGGTCTCCCCGGAGCCCCAGCTGGAATGGAGCTCATTATGTAGACCAGGCTGGCCGCGAACTCACAGCGATCTGCCTGCCTCTGCCTTCTGAGTGCTGGGATTGCCCTTTGATTTTGTGGCTTTTTGAGACAGGATTCCCATAATGTAGCCCTGGCTTATCTAAAACTTGCTATGTAGTCTAGCTGGCCTGGAACTCATAGCAATCCTCTGCCTCTGCAGTGCTGGGACTGTAGGTGTGAGGCACCATGGTGGCTTGACTCACACTTTTAACTATGAGTTTTGTTTTTTTTAAAAAAATTTTACTATTTTTATTTTATAGGTATGAGTGTATTGCCCGCATGTATGTGAGTGGACCCGTGCGGAGGTCAGAAGAGAGCTTTGGATTCCCCTGGAACTGGAGTTAAGGACGGTTCGTAGCTGCCATGTGGGTGCTGGGAATTGAACCCAGGTCCTCTGTAAGAGCAGTCAGTGCTCTTAACCACTAAGCCATCTCTCCAGCCCCTAACTAGGAGTTTTGTTGGTTTTTTTTAAAAGTTTTTTTTTTTTTTTTTTTTGGCCTTTTGAGACAGGGTCTCTCCCTGTTGTCCCAGCTGACCTGAACTTACTATGTAGACCAGGCTGGCCTTGAACTCACAGAGATCTGCCTGCCTCTGCAACAATTGAGTTTTTAAAGTCAACATTTCATTCTTGTCTGTGGTTATCCCAATGGTAGTCTTTTTACAGGCACGTATCTGAGGTGCTCTTCATTTCTAGGAGGTAAAAATTTTCATGAAGTTGTTCTACAAAGTGATAAAGTAAACCTAACTTTCACCGTAAGAGGTTGCTGCAAGGTGTGTGAGATGTTTTCATTTCACTGGCAATGAACTTGCCAAGATGAACTTTGCCAAGAGCAACATTATACTCTCCACCAACCATGCAGATCAATGAGCAAAACTTAGCTTGTATTTGATAAGTAAGCAATTTTGTTTTCTGCAATTTCATTAGAAACCTCATGAAAATCAAGAGGATGAAAAATTCTGGTTCTCAGATCAATGTATGCGAAGGACCTAGCAGGAACTTGTCTTTTGTGTTGTTTCCTTGGGTGGTGCTAGGACTGAATCCAGAGCCTCCTGCATGTGAGCCAAATGCTCTACACCTGAGCTGCACCCTCAGCCTGCCAGTCTTGGGTTGTAATGATGTGTGGAGTCACTGGTATGCCACAGAAAGCACAGCTGCTGGTGTGATCAGTCAGAATCAGCTGTACTTGAGAGGCACATCAGTTTACACGCAGCACTTTTATAGTTGCGAGCTCTGGATAAGGAAACAACCTTCTCAGTTCCAGTGAAGTGGGGGAATGAGACGGCACCAGTGCTCACTCCAGGGTTTGCCCAGGCTAACTCAGGGGCCACTGCTTTTGACTGGATACTGGTGTCACTTTGGAGAACAAAAGGGGCTTTTGGTTTAGAAGGATGAGCCTGTCAACCCGTGGTTGGGAGACTGAGTCCCCACTGTGCTTCCATGCCACCTCTCTGCCATGCCTACCTGTAAGTCCCTGTCAGCACATGGTGAAGAATATCCTTGACTGCCCTCATCCAGCTCTGTGTCCTTCCACTTGTTCTTAAAGTAAGTTACTTGGCTTTCTCTTTGGTGCTGTCTGGATCATGCCAGAGCTGTCATTGCCATGGTTTGCATTTTCATTATCTCAACTATTAAAAACATGGTTGCGGGGCTGAAGAGATGGCTCAGCAGTTAAGAGCACTGACTGCTCTTGCAGAGGACCCGGGTTCGATTCCCAGCACCCACATGGTGGCTACGAACCGTCCTTAACTCCAGTTCCAGGGGAATCCGAATCCCTCTTCTGACCTCCGTGACATTGCACAACACGGGTGCACTCACATGCATGCAGGCAATATACTCGTACACATAAAAAGATAAAATATTAAAAAAACAAAACATGGTTGCAGCACTCCTGTTTATACTAGGCTATTTTAGCTTTAAAAATTTTTTTTTCTTTATTTTCTGTGTCAGAGTGTTTTGCCTGCATTCATGTATGTGTACCATATGCATGTCTGGTGCCCATAGAGACCAGAAGAGGGCGTCAGATTCCCTGGAACTGGAGTTACAAACCATTGTGAGTCACCATGTAAGTGCTGGGAAGCAAAATTGGGTCCTCTGCAAGAGCAGTAAACACTTTTAACTGCTGAGCCATCTCTCTGGCTCTAGTATTCATAATGTTAAATACAAATCCAGTACCATCTTGAGCAAGCTTAAAAGCTGCAGCAGCATGACTACTGTGCCCTCATATCAGAGCCCCTGGGACAGCACAGACTCATATTTGCCATCATCTGAGTTCTGGGGAAATACAGCGACAGTGACTATGGGAGGCAGATAGTCTAAGCCATATCATCTGACTTAAAAACAGCATTCTCAGGGCTGGAGAGATGGTTAAGAAAATTGGTTGTTCTTGCAGAAGACCCAGGTTTGAATCCCAGCACCCACATGGCAGCTAACAACTGTCCATAACTCCAGTCCCAGGGGATCTGACAGCCTCTTCTGTTCCCTGTGGGTATTGCACGACATGGGTGCACTTACCTACAAGCAGGCAATAAAATTAATTAAAAAAAAAAACAAAACAACAACCCCCATCCCCCGCCAGCATTCTCTGCCCTGTCTTGTGGGCTTCTGTATGGGTTTGATGTTTCCATTCAATCCCTTGCATCTACTGCTACAAAACAGGACTGTGCCCTGAGGTAACTCAAGATGCAGAGCTTTTAGTGCTAAAATCTGGATGACTGACAACCCTAGTGAGGAGGTGTTGAGGCTAGGGTGGATGGGAAGACTGTAATAGAGAGCTTCCCATACTTACTCATCACGTGGCCCTAGCAAGGAGCCCAGGTCAAAGCACAAGACCTCAGCAGGCTCCTGGGGAGTAAATGTGTGCAGTATGTGGCAGAAAGGGTGCGACTCTCGGGTAGAGCATGTGCTTAGCATGTGCAAGGCCCTGGCACAACAAATATACAAGCAAGCAATCAAACAAATTTGTGCTGTCTTCAGCACAGAGCAGCCCACAAGTGTGTGGGGGGATTAATACCTGGGGTGATTCCTGTGTCATCTCAGGAACTGGGCCATTGAAACCAACAAAGAGCCACAAGGCTACCTTCTCTCCAGGCCCAGGGCTCTCCAGTGCCAAGTTTAGACCAGCTTACTTCCCATCTCCACAGAGGGGAGTAGGATGGATTTGCTGTCTGTGGAGGCCAGGCAGCCCAGCTGGGTCCTTGAGGCACTCCTACTGGGAGAGAGAGGCAGGCTGCAGGTGTAGTGTGCTGAGGGGACTCAGGGCCAAGTGACAGGGAAACAAATGAGAACCAGGATAGATAGAACTCCAGTTGAAAGGATGGCCTGGGTGGAAGTGTGTACCCTAAGCTCTACCTTTAACTCCACAGCCCTGGAAATAGGCAGGATGGGGTGGGAGGGACTATTCAAGGTGGCACAGCCGGTCAGGGGAACGGTGCTTCCCCTTACCAGCACCCTCACACCTCCATCAGCAATAAGACGGGAACTGAATTGCCCAAGAGTTAATCACTTTTCTGATGGTTTATTTTATTCATCATTGGTAACAAATGGCTGAAATCAATTAAGACTTGCTTTCCCCTCAGCTGATGAAGTTAATTATGATTTGTTATGGTATCTGGTATGTAAATGAGTAGAAAGCAGACTTACGTTGGACCGGCTGCCTCCAGGCGGCACAGGATTAATCATTGTGTAGATGTTGTCGCTGGAATTTGTTGAATCTGTAGAACAGTGGAAATCCGAAAGTTGAAGTGATTAATTCACTTCTTAATTAAAACAAACTTGTGGCACTTGAACTCATTCTTTTGTATTTTATCACCTAAAATTTCTTCTAAGTATTGCCATTTTCTGGCTAATTTGTGTTTAATGAAGATTCACAAAGTTTTTAATCACAGAAAATTCAACTGTGAAACCACTCAACCACAAAACCAAGAATTTCAGGGTGTCTGGGCAGCAGGGAGGACACAGCACAGGGGGACTGTAGATCCAGTCTCCTCTCCCTGTCCACAGGGACAAGATGGGGGCAGTGAGGGGAGGGCCTGTGCTGCCTCTCAGTCCCACCCAGGGGAGGGAGAAGAGGCAAGTTACCCAGGGCAGGAAGGAGACAGGGATGGGGCTGGGGACACATTAACATACGGAGTGGGTTAACGTGACCCAGTCTGAATGTAGGTCATGCTGCTCATCAATGCGGCAACTGCATCGAGATTGAGCTGGAGCAGGAGCCAGTTGCTGCAGCCAGCTCCACCCCTGTAGCTGAGCAGTTTCCCTTTATTGGGAGAGCTGGAGGGGGAGTCTCTGGCCATCTCCCTACCTAGCCAGGAAAGTCTCCTCAGGAAACCAGCTAACAGTGTTCTCTTGGGAGCAGAGAAATCCTGAGCGCCTCCCTCTCTCTATTTTGGGCTGGGTGGGGGATGCATGCTGCATCCCTTCCGGCTGACTGCAATGCTATTCTTAGCTGGGAAAGACATAATTGTGATGCTGTGTGTGTATGCACATCTGTGCACATGCCCTCATGTGCACGAATGCCCTCTTCAGATTAAATAAAAAGGGAGTAGAGCTGTCTCACACAGAGGATCAGAAGTCTAGTGCTCTGGAACCTCAGAGCCCAGTGTATCTTAGAATCCTGGTCCCAAGCTGCCAGGGCCCCAAAGTCCTTTACTGAATCATCTAGGGCAACAGGACCCCTTGTTCCAGACCTCTGTCTAGCCTTGTTCTTTTTTTTTTTTTGGTTTTTAAATTAAAAAAAAATTTTCTGTGTATTTTGCCTGCATATATGTAAGTACACCCATGCCATGCAATGCGGAGAAGGTCAGAAGAGGATATTGAATTCCCCTGGAACTGGAGTTACAGACAGTTGTTAGTTACCATGTGGGTGCTGGGAATCAAACTCCAGTCCTCTGCAAGAGCAGCCAGTGTTCTTAACTGATGAGTCGTCTCTTGGCCCTGTTTTTTTGTCTGTCTATTTTAAAAGCAGAATCTATGTAATCTTGGGTGGCCGGGAACTTGCTAGTAGAGCAGGCTGACCTGGAACTCACAGAGATCTGCCTATCTCTGCCTCCTGAGTGCTGGGCTCAAAGGTGTGTGCTACCACCCCTAACTTAGTCTTGTTCTTCATAAAGCTATGTAACCAAAAGGGTG